GAATTTTGACTCTTTTTGCTCATTGATTGTTCCCAAGCACTTAGAACAGTGTTGGGAATATAGTAAGTGCCCAATAAATATTTGTGGACTGAATGAATGTGCAAATGAATTGGTGTTTTGGATACTTTGAATACTTTATGCTTGGCAGAAAATGCCACAGATGGGAAGCACTGGCCTTTGAGCCCCAAGGAACATACTTGGTATGAAAAGCATGGAACTCAGACCCTCCATGGCTCTTTTCTGCTTCAAGGCTGTGGTTTTCTGAGTGTCTGTGAGAACCAAGACAGACAGAGACACAGAATGGTGAAAGCAGCACTGTGGTGGGCTGGTGAATGAGGGATGGATTCCTTTTCTTAAAGTTGCTATTCAGTGTTGCAGTGTTTGTGTCCTAAACACAATTTTGGAGGAAAAAAATTGTTTTAAAAAGACTTACCTCTCATAACACAGGGAACTACATTCAACATTTAGATGGGGAAACAATGGAAACAATGACAGACTGTATTTTCTTGGGCTCCAAAATCACTGCAGATGGTGACTGCAGCCATGATGTTAAAAGATGCTTGCTCCTTGGAAGAAAAGCTGTGACCAACCTAGAGAGATTAAAAAAACAGAGACATTACTTTGCTGATGAAGGTCTGTATAGTCAAAGCTATGGTTTTTCCAGTAATCATGTATAGATGTGAGAGTTGGGCCATAAAGAAAGCTGAGCACCAAAGAATTGATGCTTTTGAACTTTGGTGTTGGAGAAGACAGACTCTTGAGTGTCCCTTGGACTGCAAGGAGATGAAACCAATCAATCCTAAAGGAAATCAATCCTGAATATCCATTGGAAGGACTGATGCTGAAGCCGAAGCTCCAATACTATGTCCACCTGATGTGAAAAACTGACTCATTGGAAAAGACCCTGGTGCTGGGGAGGATTGAAAGCAAGAGGAGAAGAGGATGACAGAGGATGAGATGGATGGCATCATTGATTTTGATGAGCATGGTTTGAGCAAGTTCTGGGAGTTGGTGATGGACAGGGAAGCCTGGTGTGCTGCAGTCCATGAGGTTGCAAAGAGTTAGACATGACTGAACTGAACTGAATTGATAAGGGAAAAGACTCTGAAAAAGAATCTATCTATCTGTCTATCTATATTGTGTGGTGTGTGTGTGCATGTGTGTGTGTGTGTGCTTAGTTGTGTCTGACTCTGCAACCCCATAGACTTGTAGCCTGCCAGGCTTTTATGTCCAAGAAATTCTGCAGGCAAGAATACTGGAGTGGGTTTCCATTCCCTTCTCCAGAGGGAATTGAATCTGGGTCTCCTGTATTGCAGGCAGATTCTTTACCAGCTGAGCTACCAGGGAAGCCATATATATGCATATATATATATATACACACACATACACATAAACGAGTTGCTGTGCTATATGCCTGAAACCATTGGAGAAGGAAATGACAACCCACTCCAGTATTCTTGCCCGGAGAATCCCAGGGACAGAGGAGCCTGGTGGACTGCCATCTATGCAGTCACACAGAGTTGGACACGACTGAAGCGACTTAGCAGCAGCAGCACACCTGAAACCAAGACGATATTGTAAACCAACTATACTTTAATTAAAAAAATAAGCGTAAGGAAATTAATAACAAAAGAGAAAAAAAAAAGACTTCCTTCTCTCTCTCCACAATATCCTGCCCTGGGAATGCTTTGAAAAGGCCCTGTGCGGTGCCGCCAGGGAAGTTGGTGGCCAGCAGAGGGCAGCAACGCCCCACAGGTAGCCAGGCAGAAGCTCAGTCCAGGTTGCAGAAGCAGGAAAGGCTAGGGAGCTGCCTGCCTGCCTGCAGATCGGGGCTGAGGGCTTTGCGTGCAAACACTGGCAACAGTCTGCTGACACTTGGGCATCCACCCATGTTTGGGAATGGGGTGACTGAGCTGCTGAACACAGACAGCTCTTCTCCATTAGCAGTAGAACTGGACCTACCACCACCGTCACCACCAAAACAATAGCAACCATTTATTGTGCACCACTGTGTACCAGCCTATGTGCTAAGCACTGTAGTTATGCCATTGTGTGTAATCTCCACAACAACTTTTTGATATAGTAGCTATTTTCCTATTTTATAGATGAGGCAAGAGACAGAATGAATGACAGCTCGAACCAGCATGGTGGTGATGGGTGTGGGTTCTGCACTCAGAATGCCTTTGCTTTGACCACTGGGCCTTGATTTTGTCATCTGTCAAAAGTGCAGTTATTAAGGTTCCTACTGCATAAGATTGTTGAAAGAATCAAGTAAGTTAAAACAAAAAACACACTAGAAACCCTGCTCAATTCAATCTATCTTAAGTATCATTCTTGCCTGTTATTATTTTTGATCACACAGCTATTAAGTAGAGAACCTGGAATCTGAACTGGGGCTTACACAAACCGGACTTCACAAGTTTGATTGAATCTTGTGTCATTTTTATGGGAGAATCAATGTCTTAACAATATTGAGTCTTCCGATTCATGAACATAGTATATATCTCCATTTACTTGTCTTCTCTGATTTCTTTCATTATTGTTTTGTAGTTTTTAGCATATTGACCCTTTTTAAAGGCTTTTGCTTAGGTATTTTTCTGTTTGGGTGCTATTATAAGTGATACTTAAAATGTTTAATTTCTAACTGTTTTTGCTAGAATATAGAAATGCAATTAGTTTTTGTATATTGACCTCACATCCCTTAATCTTACTAAACTCACTTATTAGTTCTACCAGGTTTTTTAAAAAGAGAAATTCCTTGGGATCCTCTATGCAGAAAATTATGTCTTCCAAAAATACAGTTTTATTTCTTCCTACCCAACCCATTTGACTCCCCCCTCCCTTTTTATATGACTTTTATTTCTTCTTCTTGCCTTAGTTCATTGGCTAGGCCAGCTTGTGTCATACTAATTAAACATGATGTGAGCAGATACCCTTATCTTTTCCCAGTCTTAGGGGAGACATCATTCAGACTTTCACCATTAAGTAGGTTGTTAGCTATGGGATGTTACTTTGTTGATGAATTTAGTAGATGCTATTTAGATTACTGAAGTTCTCATCTATTCCTAGTTTACTGTGAGTTTTTTTTTTTAATTGCGACTAGATGTTGAATTTTGTCAAATCCTTTTGTGTACCTATTAAGGTAATCATGATTCTTCCTTTTCAGTCTGTGTGTTTTTTTGTTGTTGTTGCTGTAGGGCTTTCTCAAGTTATGGCAAGTGTGGGCTACTGTCTAATTGCAGTGTGGGCTTCTCGTTTCGGTGGCTTCTCTTGTTGCCAAGCATGGTCTCTAGTGTCCAGGCTTCAGTAGCTGCAGCGCATGGGCTTAGTTGCCCTGTGGCATGTGGGGTCCCAGTTCCTGGGTCAAGGATTGAAGCCATGTCCCTTGTACTGGCAGATGGATCCCTAGTCCCTGGAGCACCAGGGAAGTCCCCCTTTTCAGTCTGTTGATATCATAAATTACATTAATTACATTAGGCTTTTGAAAGTTGAACCTGTCTTGCATTCCTAGGGTAAACTACTTGTCATGATATGTTATCCTTTTCTTTGTTGCTGTATTCAATTTACTAATATTTTGTTTTTTACATTAAGTTTCATAACATGTATTGATTTGTAGTTTTTTTTTTCTTATTATGTCTTTGGCTGGTTTTGGTATTAGGGTAATGCTGGTCTCATGAAAGGAGTTGGGAAAATTTCCTTCTTATGTTTTCTGGAAGACTCTGAATTTTTCCTCAAATGTTTGGTAAAATGCACCAGTGAAGGTATTTGGGCCTGAAGTTTTCTTTGTAGGAAGATTTTAAACTGCACATTCAATTCCCTTAGTAGAAATATAGCTATTCAGGTAGGACTGGCTATACAGTTCATGGGGCTTAATGTAAAATAAAAATGCAGAACCCCTTGTTAAAACTATTAAGAATTTCATGATGATGGGAATAGTCATTAAACCAAGTGTGGGGATTTACTATGCTGTGGGATCCTCTGCTATTGCACAAGACAAACAGTAAGAGTTCTGGTCATAGTTCCAATGTGTTTGCATGTATGCGCGCACGCACACACACACACACACGCGCACATGGGGTTTCTTGTACCAATAAGCAGCTGGGTGTCCCACAATTCAACTCAATTCTGACACTGTCTACCTGGAGGCAGCATCAGATTCCATGGGTCAAGGGTTCAGTCCTACAAGACTGCCCACCCCAATTCTGCTTTAGATGCTAGTCGCAAACCCAGGTTATTGCCCAGACTGCTGACCAATTGGTTATAGATAGAAAGTTTCAAAACCTCTCCTTGGGTTTGATTACTTTGCTAGAGTGGCTCACAGAAGTCAGAGAAACATTTTACTTAATAGATTGCCAGTTTATTATGGAAGGATAAAACTCAAGAACAGTCAGATGGGAGAGATGTATAGGGCAAGGTGTGGGGAAAGGGGCTGGGGGCTTCCATATTCTCACCAGGCACACCCCCTTCTGCCCTGCCCATATCGCCACATGTTCACCAACCTGGAAACTCTTAGAACCCCCCAGTCCTTTGGGAGTTTTTATGGAGGCTTCATTACATAAATCATGATTGATTGATTCAACCTCCAACCCTGCTCCCCTCCCTGGAGGTCAGGGAGGGTGGATTAAAAGTTCCAACCCTCTAACCACATGGCTGGGTCTCTTGGCCCCTACAATGATCCCAGAGGAACTGGGGGTGGGGTGGGACCTGGGGAACAAATGGAAGGGTTTGCCTTGGTGGGAGGAGGGTGGAAGGCAACACATGGAGAGAAGTGGGCTGCTTGGCATTCTTTTTCAGAGCTTTTGCTGTATGTCTCATCGCCCTTGCTGAACTGTGTGCCCCTCCAGGGAAGGGCTTGAGGGCTCTTTTCTTAGTATGTCCTCTGTCCCAGGACACCAGCCTCTGCCCTTAGCAAGTTCCCAGGGGAGTGGGCTAGTGGAATCTAGGAGGTAAGATCCCCCACCCCCAGCATGACTGGCAAAGAGAGTCCAGAGTCCTAGAGATGTTAGCTTGCAAGTTTATTGAAATTCCAGCAACACAAAGAGCAGTACAAACAGGCACCCACCCCAGCCCAGGCCTCCTTGGAGCTTGCAGACATAAACCCTCTTGCAGTGGAAGGCTGGACTCCCCTCACACCACCAGCAGGGGCATGGAGTGTTGCAGGGCCCGCCTCTCCACCTGCACCCATCCACCTCGTGGACTCGCGTGCCGGGGTTAAACCAACACCCCAGGAAGAGAAGCAGCCAGGACCAATGCCACTTGGAGAAGAACCATCTCTGGGGACTCAGGGATCCCTTGGGCCACTGAAGATGGTGGCTCCTTCTGGGTCAGGAAGAGGAGGAAAGAACCTTCTGCCAGGGAAAGTTAGGACAGGGAAGCAGAGGCTGGTGGGCTGAGGACCCCTGCTCTGTGGACAACCAGCTCTCCATTCTTGAAGTTAATCCAAAGCTAGGATGGTGATGGTGCCCAGACACATTCTTTTTGGTGTTGAACTGGTCTATTTCTCCCCCAACACATTGGTTTTTGTACTTTCTTTAGGCTGTTGGGTTGGGTGGTGAGGAGTGACCCAAAGAAGGAAACGGGGAGTCAGGGAGAAAGCCAGTCCTCTGGGGCCTGTGGATGGAGTGTCTTAAGAGGTGAAAAAAATCCCCCCAGAGGACAGAGGCCAGGCAGCGCAGCCCCTGGCTTCTTGGCAGGAGGGGTACCTACAGCGCCCTCCAGCCTGACTCTGGGCACCTTGGGGACAGAAGCAGAAGGCATGGAGATGGTTCTTCTGAGGGCGGTGGCTGGCCAGCGCTTGCTCTCAGTACTTGGTCCGATGGGAGGTGGTGGTGGACACGAAGCGGACGGTAGAACTGCGGCTGCTGCGGCCGCCGCTGCAGCTGCTGAAGCCGCCCTCAGTGGGCAGCGGGCAGGGGACGCTGGGAGCGCAGGCTTCGCCCACCAGCACCGAGCCCCCTCGGGAGCCGGCGCCCAGCAGATCCCCGCCGCCCACAACCCGGGCCCCGCCCACGCTGGAGCTGCAGAAGCCGCTGGACCGGATGTTGCTGCTGCTGCTGCTTCCGGAGATGGTGACCCCGCCACGGCAGAGGCTGGAGCTGCTGAACAGGGACTCGGGCCCGCACACCAGGCCGCCCCGGGAGCTACTCACCGCTGCAGGAGGAAGAAACCCTCAGCGAGGCTGCCTCACCCTCCACGCTCCCGTTTCGGGAGGGGAGAGGACAGGCAGAAGTGGCCTGGGTCCCAGGGGTTCCTACTATCTACGTAGTCAATACCCACTTTTCTGTCCTTTTGCCTGGGTGACTCAAAGGCTGTGACTTCACTAAAGTCAAAATGGAGTTTGACTTTAGTGGAGTCGCTAAAGTGACTAAAATGGAACATTTGTACTAAAATGGAAGAGTTCAACCAGTTGCCCAGGTGTTGGCATATAGCCATAAGTCCACTGTCACTTATATATGGTTGGGTTGTGTGAGGGGGCTGGCGAGTTGGATTATCCAGCAGCCTCCAGCCAGTAGTCTCCATAATAAAGCCACAGGGCGTCTTCCAGTTACATCTTGCCCCTTGGAAATCCCCACATTGCCCACCTCTAAAGAGGGTCTGTTGTCAGTTCCTTCCGACTCACTAAATGGCTATGCTGTCTAGCCCTCTCATCTCCACTGGACACACCTCCATGACCCAGAACTCTAGTCTGATTAAGCTTTACTTAGCTCAACTCCCATTGGTGGAGGGCCCCCCTTTCTTCCTTTTCCTCTCACCGGAATCCTTCCTGCCATAGTGACCCACCCAGTTTAGCATATACAGCTGTGTGTATTTGCACTCTTGGATCAGAAATCTTGGTTTGAATTCCAGCTGTGCCCCTGACTATCTTTGTGACTGCTGGCAAGTCATGTATTTTTTTTCTTTTTGAGTAAAAGGGAGTTGCCCAGGCCATTCTCCGCCTGGGGCTTTGAGGATTAGGTTGACAGTGGATAGGACTCATCTGAAGAATATTATAAATCTGGAGCGCTGGATCTGGGTCTTGTCCCTCCCCTACAGTGTCCAGCACAGGTCCTGTGTGCTTTGGGCACAACCAGTACTTTGGCAGCAACAGCAAGGGGACTTGCATTCAGCCTTGTCCTATTCCCTGCCATCAGCAGAGGAAGGAGTTCCTGGCACAGGCCTTGCCATTCCTTCCTTGGTCTTTGCCCTTGAAGGACAAGGCCACTGTTCACAAAAAGGCTGACTTCTTGAGCCCTCTCCCACCTAGCAGGCTCTGCAAACCTTTGTGATTGATTGCTTAGCTCTGGGGAGGCACGGCTCTGGGGATGTCTTAAGACCTAAGTCAGCTAAGGATGTTCTCAGTCCAAGGGCCAGATGGTCCCTGTTCCCCTGGCTGTCATGGCCAGTCCAGCCATGGGCTCCTGACCTCAATGTGGGCTTGAGTTCAAAGGAAATTTGAAGGGTCCTAGGAGAGACATGTGTGAAGAAGAGACTGAAGGGTCTTACCTATGTCTACTGGTCCAACACCTTCACAGATCCTGGAAAGAGAAAGAAGCAAGTCAGTTCACAACTATGTTGTTCTCTGAAAACTTCCCTGCTATGAGAGGGCTTTTTTGGCTGTGTGGACAGTGGTTCTTATCCATGTCTGCCTAAGAATCTGGGGAGTTTTCAAAACTTACATGTCCCTAAACCCTCCGAAACTATTGAAGCAAAGTATTTCAGAGAATATTTCTTTTTCTCTAAAAGAGAATATCTTCTTTTTCTTTTTTTAAACAAGCGAACCAATCAAGCAGAACTCTATGATTTGATGCAGTCTGTCTACAAGCTTGCACTTAGAGGCACAGAACCAGAGCCATCTTCTAAACCCCTGCCAAGGGCAATCCAACGAGGTTAGCAGGAAAAATTGTTCCTGGTTCCTTCCCCCACTTAGACTTTCTAGAAGCCAGAAGTCTGACCACACTCCAATCGCTACACTGAGAGCACTCACCGGATCTCCTCGCCTTCCAGCAGGCGCCTGTAGGTGGCGATCTCGATGTCCAGGGCCAGCTTGACGTTCATGAGCTCCTGATACTCTTTCAGCTGCCGCGCCATATCCTGCTTGGCTTGCTGCAGAGCACCCTCCAGCTCTGCCAGCTTGCATTTGGCATCATTGAGGGCAGCTTCTCCCTGCTGCTCAGCCTCGGCTACGGCGGCCTCGAGCTTGCAGCGCTGTGGGGAGGGCAATTTGCAGATGGGCTCTGGCAGGAACTAGGGGATCCTCAGGTTGGGCTAGAAACACTGCCTTTTGTCTATGGGAACACAGCCTGGTGCCAAGCCAGGGATGGAGCCCATGGAGGGGCTTGTCATCCTGTAGTTTGATGTCACCAGGGAGTGGAACATTGCTTTCCTTCTGTTTTCATCCTCACTGATTTTGCAGTTACTGATTTCTGTTGTTTTAAGACCCAGGGGGTCCAGAGAATAAAGCCATTCTTTCTGTCTTGCCTGCCCCTTTAAGGGAGCCCAAGAGCTTTCCTTCTACGTTTTTGGGAGTTTAAGAGAGTCTCTCCTTTCCTTCCTCATTTTCCTCCTCCAGGAAGTCTTCCTGGACTAATTCTTCCATCCCTCTATTTCTGGGTTCCAGTTGCCTCCCCCACATCATCTAACTCAGGTTCCCCAAAGCTTGGGGCTCTGCCTGTCTTCCTTATGGGGCTTTCTTTTTCCTTTGCCCACCTGAGCCTTGGCATGCTCGATCTCTGCCTTCAGCCTCTGAATCAGCCGGTTCAGCTCATTGATCTCATCCCGAGTACTGCGCAGGTTGTCACAGTGCTGACCAGCTGTCACTCGCATCTCCTCGTACTAGGGGGTGGTGGGAGAAAGGGATGATTCAAAGATTGCGTCAAGATCACAACCCACTTTGTCATCCCAGGGCTGCCTGCTCCCCTTCCCCAGCACCCTCCTGCCAACCTTGGTCTGGTACCAGGCCTCCGCATCAGCCCGACTGCGTCTGGCAATCTCTTCATACTGGGCTTTGATATCGGCGATGATCCCGTCAACGTTCAGGTCCCGGCTATTGTCCATCTTCACAATGACTGATGTCTCTGAGATGTGTGACTGTAGTAACTGGATTTCCTATGTTGGAAGATCAGTGAGACAGATGGACTGAGTCCCATCAATGGGTCCCATCAATGGCAGGAGCTTTGTTACAGGGTCCCCAGGACTTGAAGTCAGGAGAAAGAGCATTGCTTATTTCTTCAGGGCAAAGCGACAGAGCAGATCATGCAAACTGAGGGCAAAGAAGAGGAGGTGACCCCAAACCATTTCAGCTTGACTTTAAACCCTTTTTGTATACTAGGAGATATCCCTTGAACACCCTAACTTGTTTAGATGACTACTAAAACTGTGGGGGTCTAGGGATTTGTGAAGGGGAATAAAAACCATGATAAAGCTTAAACTTCTCTTTGGTTTAGCCACACAGTGACTGTGCCAGTTGTGGGTCATTGAGAGCTGACAATACTTTAGAACATGATGATCTAGGAGTTCCTATATCCCAAGTCCTTAAGAGACTTGGCAGTGGGGATGGGAGAGGGCTGAGAACTGGTGTGCAAAGTGAGGGCCTCAGAGGGAGATTTCTTCAGCCTTTCCACTCAGAGCCAGACATTCAGTTCTGAAATTAGGACTATCCCAGACCAAAAAGACCTTATGGAGCAAAAGATAGCTAGTTCATTTGACTAATTAGGTAACACATCTTACATCTCCCAGCAAGTCAGTTTTCCAGAGTCTTCTCATCAGAAGATAGGAAGTGACATTCCTAGACCCAAAGCTTTCCTGGCCATCAGTAGATTGGCCAACAAGGAGTTGATTCATAGACCTGAGTCAGGCTCCCCTTACCTTCTCCACTTGTACATATGTCAGCATTTAGAGAATATAGATTTGATGGGAAGAAAGATGTATGGTACCAAATGTTAGAAAATACACTGGTCCAGTGAACCCTCAGGGAGTGCAGGCCACACAGTGAGCTCCTTGGATGGCTCAGAGGGGATGAATCCTTACCGCTGTGTACAGGGTTTTCAGGAAGTCAATTTCCTGAATTAGGGTATCCACATTGGCCTCTAGATCAGCCTTGCTTAAGAACGCTGTATCCACATCCTGCACCAAAGAGAGAAGAATAGAATGCTCATTATCTGTGTACTGTTTAACCTCCCCACCTTGGCAGGGTCTGGAGATGGGTGGGAAGATCAGACGAGTCTCCATAGGGGCAGGCCAAGTGGGATGGGTGGGAGAGTCATGGGGGGGAGACATTACAGCTTAATGTCTCTTGTTCTCCCTTGGACAGCATAAAACCCCCAGGGATACTGGACCTTTCTCGATGCTCATTTAGAGGCAAGAAAAATCTTGTTAACCCAAGACTCCTAAAATGTCATCTCTTCAAGCCTCTCCTCTCATGAAGACCCTAAGTCATTGGAGACCAAATCAGAACTCTGAAGGGAAGCAGTTGTGACCTCAGGGGCTCCACTGTGGGTGAGTTTTCACAGGGCTGCCCGGACAGCGTCCTGGGATGTGGAAAACATCTGCCTGTCTGGAGGGGAAGTCTTCCTGGGCCTGTTGTTCTCCTCACCTTCTTCAGAGCCACGAACTCATTCTCAGCATTGGCCCGAAGTCCCACTTCCTCTTCATACCTGAGTGATAAAAATGAAGACGGTGAATTCTCCCCCTGAACTGAGAGCTGATTACAGCCAGCTCCCCAGTTATCACTTATTATGACCTCTCTTGCCCCGGCCAGGAGCCTGGCTCCCTGTTGCCATCCTCATGTTCTCTACGCTGTCCCATCTTTAAGATCTTTTAGACCCTTGGTTTCTCCAAATCCCTTTTACTTTCTCAAATTGGGTGCGGGATCTGAAAATCTGAGCCTTGGCTGTGGTTCTTTGCTGGAAATGCCTTAGGGTCATTGCACTTGACCTTAGAGGAAGTAGCATCCTGCTTGTGGCTGGACCTGGGCACTGTTTTCAGAACCAGGGGTTTCCTTTTTCTGGGGACAACTCACCCATGTGCACAGACAGGATTAGGGACAAACTGTGCCCAATCTCAGGTCTCTTTATTCCTCAGGACCTGAAGGGGGCCTCACCCTCTCATATATATCTCTGCCCTGCCACTGTCTCCAGGCTGGGAATTGAAACCAGCATTCAACTCTGATCCTTCTGGGAGCTCCCATCTGAGCTTGGCTGCTGCACTGGGGACCAGCCCTATGCCCGTCCTTGGTCCATATGGTCCAGATGCCACTCACTTCTTCTTGAAACCCTCAAGGGCATCCTGCATGTGGTTCCTCTCAGCCTCCAACCGGGCCTGGTCACTGTTCACTACATCCAGCTGCCTGCGTAGGTTGGTGATGTAGCTCTCAAAGAGGGGCTCCAGGTTGCTCTTGGCACATTTCTGCTCTTGGAGGAAGCTCCACTTTGTCTCTAGGAGCTTATTCTGCTGTTCCAGGAACCGCACCTAAATCCACAGAGGCAAAGACATGGCAATTGAGTGCTCAATATGATCACCTATGTATGGACTAGTTGCTCAGATGGTCAGAGATGACAACCTCATGGTGACCATTGTTCCCTTTTTTGTTTGACTTTCAGTCCTCAAACTCAGAAGAATCTGGCAGAGCAGGTCTGGGATGCCTCCTCACACTCAGCCAGGCTGAGATACAAACAGAAGCTTTGAAACCAAAATCCTCAATTTCCCCTTTAACAGTCTGAGAAAGGGGAGGGCCAGGTCACTGGGAATTCAGAAATCGATTCTACCTGAGCCAAGGTTGGCCTCCATCTGAAAACCAGTGTTTTCAGTTATCTCTGGCAGGGAATGAAGAACAAAGTACATTTGGGCTGGGAAGTGGCTTTAGGAGGTGGGAACTCTCAGGTAATAGGTCATACCCATCACCCCAGATATTCCATCAGCTGAGACTTACAGAGCTGTAGGAAAATGTAGAGACCATTTGCTCCAACCCCTCATTTCACATGAAATGAAGCTCACAGAGGTGAGTTTACAATCTCAGGCACAATCAGAGAATCCCCACTTCATGGAGACATGAATCTCCGCTTCTGGGATGTCAGTTCCACCCCTTTGTTTCTCTCATTAACCTGAAGATCAGTGACCATCAGTGATCATTCCATACTGTTTTCCTCAATCTAGATGACTTGGCTGAATCTGGATATCCCTCTTGTGGGGAGGGGTATGAATTCCTTGTTTTGTACAAAAATTACTCAACTTCATTCTCCATTTCTTTAAGCCTGAACAGGTGTGGCCACTCATCCTCAGAAACCATGAAAACTTCAAAGAGAGCATGAGGATATCAAAGGACAAAATCTTTTAAACCTGTCCCAGCCAACACCTGGTGGAGGTGTTCGTGTTTCTAACCTGTTTGAAAGATATTTCTAAATGACTAGGTTGTTCAGATCCCTTTAGGCATCCAGTCAGTGGCTGGATGTTCCACCACCACCGTCAATCTATCCCTCCATGTAGTGCTTCCTCGGGCTCATCCTTGTTCTGCAGCAGAGGGACCCAGAAATCATACGGCATACTTTTGGTTGATCCCAAAGGATGTGGGGCCAAGATCTGTGTCCTGGGTCTAGATCAGTTCTTCCTGAGGGAAAGTACACCCCAGTGCATTTAGCTGTCATCATCCCAGACCCAGAGATTGAGCTGTCTCAAGTACCTTGTCGATGAAGGAGGCAAATTTGTTGTTGAGGGTCTTGATTTGCTCCTTCTCATCCCTCTTCACTCTCTGGGCATTGGGGTCAATCTCCAGGTTGAGCGGGGTCAGCAGGCTCTGGTTAACAGTCACTGCTGTGATGGATGGGGCTGCTGGCCCTCCAACTCCTCCAACTCGGTAGCCAAAGCCAGGACTGCATAAGCCATAGCCGAGACCACTTCTGGCTCCAAACCCCAGGCCAACACAACTGCCGGCCCCAAACCCCAGACCAGCACCACTTGCATCACCGAAGCCAACTCCATAGCAGGTGGGTCGAGGGCACACAGCTGCTATCCGGGGTGAGCACGATCCAAAGCTGATGACGCTCCGACTGCCAAAGCTGCTGAGACCCCGGAAGCTGGGCCCACTCCTGCAGGAGACAGAGCTGGTCCGGAAGCGGTTCAGGTTCTGAGGGGTCACTGCTGAGCAGGAGCTGAAGTTGCCCACACAGCGACCAGAGCTGACTCTGTAGGAGCGGCAAGACATGATGGTGTCCTGGGCAAGAGCAGAGTGGCGACTGCAGAGCGGGGAGAGCTGGAGCTGGGAGTCCTCTGGGGCTAGTGGATCCCTCTCACCCCTTTTATGTGTGTGGGGATCTGAGGATTGGTCCCATAAAAGTGAAAAAAGCCATTTGGAAGCATTTATGAGCTTGGGTAGTTAGCAGAAACTCTCCATGCCTGTAACCTCCTTCACAGTGAACTAATCTCAGACACACCTATTCCCCTCAGAATCAGAGCCATAACATCAAACCTATAAACATTAAAAACACATAAACACATAAACATTATTGTCCTATTTTTCCCGCAGGTCCACCATAATTGCCATTATGGGGACATTAATTTTCCTTGGTCTTAAATCCAATAGACTTTCCATTGCAAGTGTGGCTAACCACCAGAAAGTTAGAATGGTAACAACTCCAGCAAGAGGCTTGCAGGGAATGCAGCTATACAGATAACCCCTAAATAGATGAGGAGTGTATAGAAGAGAGGCAGGGTCTTCATAGCTCCAAGTAAGAAATGATATGGTGAGAATACAGTTTACTGCATCCCTGTAGATGGATTAAACAGTCCAAAAACCTTTTGCAGTGTTTCATCTATCCTCTGTAATCTGATTTGACTGTTCACATAAGAATTGAATCATCTGTGAAATTCATCTGGGTTAGTGTAATACATATCTGATTTGAGACTCTCAAAGGACATTCATTCATTCATTCATTCACTCAGCAATTACCAGATACTCTATCTCAGGTAATGTGCTTGGTACCAAGGGTACAGAGATAAAAAAGGTCTCTGTATTCCTGCTGGTGTGGGAAGATTATCTTGAAGACTTCCATCAACCAATACTTTTGTGACATAATTTGAGGTCAAAACATGCCAATGATTTGGCCATGTATCTGTGTGGAAAGTTAACCACATGATTTTGAACCCCTAAAATACACATTAGGGATATCTGTAGTCTTACCTATGCAGATTCCTTGTATTATAGATGGAGAGAAAAATGTGGACCTTTTCTGTTCTAGAAAGTGGCATGATTGGTCCTACTTGTCGGTGTCTGGGGAACTTGTGCTTGATTGAATGCTTACTTGGGATTCTATCAATACTTTGGAAAGAGAATATGAGCTTTTGACGAGAGCCATCCATCTCAGGTCTTCACTGTTTCCTTCCTTCAGGTCTCTCTACCTTTTATTTCTTTTTCTTGTCTTACTGTATTAGCTAGGATATCCAGTATGATGTTGAAAAGCAGTGGTGAGAGAGGGCATCTTTGCCTTGTTCCTGATTTTTGGTGGAAAAGCTTCAAGTTTCTCACAGTAAAGTACAATGTTAGTTGTAGGTTTTCTGCATATATAAATTTTTTATCAAGTTGAGGATGTTTCTGTTTCTCATTTACCACTACTCATTTCTCATTTACCATCTACTCCATAGATCCAGGTATCAGGTTCACGTCTCAGAGGGAGAAGCAGAAAATAATAATAACACAGCAGTTCTTGTGAAGATTGCCAGCAACCTCCATGTTGCTAAATTCAGTGGTCCATTCTCAGCTATCATTTAATTTATCAGAATTTGACATAGTTGATCATTCTCTTTTCCTTGAAATAATTTTTTTTGGTTTCCAGACAGCACATTCTCTTAATTTTCTTTACATATTATTGACTTCTTCTTTTCATTTTTCTCAACCAGTTTATCCTCATATCCCCAACCTGCACACACCACGGCATCCTTGGGCTCAGCCCTTGTACCTGTTCATGTCTTTATCTACACTTGTCCCCTTTGTGACATCACACAGCCTCATGACTTTAAATACTATCTGTCTGTTGATGGCTGCCAAGGTGTATCTCTATCCTGAACATACCTTTGAATGTCCCTTCTGTGCCCCACACATGTATTTTGATCAACATCTCTATTTGGATAACAATTATGTATCTCAAATTTAATCTATCCAAAACTGTTCTCCCGATTGCTTGTTCCTGTGAAATACATTCTACTTGCCAGGCGTGCTATCTCTGTACTGGCTCAGGCCAGAAACCTGGGAGCCAGCCTTTGTTTGTCAGCTTTTTCCATATCCCACATTCAGTCCACTGGCAAGTCCTACCTTCAAAATATACCTGGACGTTTACTACTGCTCACCACACCATTGTTCCCATATTTGTCCAAGTTCACCACTCCTCACAGGGTGTATTGAAGTATCCTTCCAGCTAGTCATCCTGCTTCCTCCTGTGCCCTCTCTGTCTTTCCTTAACACCATACTCAGAGTGGTCCTTTAAAAACAAAACATGTCAGATCATGCCATGTCTAAGTTCAAACATCCAGAGTAAATGCCATACAGGACCCTACATAGTCTTCCCTCCTCTTTCACTGACCTCCCTTCCCTCTATCTGCCCTTTACTCACTCTGCTCCAGCCACTCCGTCTGCCTGTATGTCCATCAAACAGGTAGGAAGGCTCCTGCTCAGACACTTTTTTCGCATTTACTGTTTTTTATTTGTGCTAGGAAATCTTTTTTCCTCAAATGGCCACATGGCCAGGTCCCTCAACTCTCCCAGGTCTTTGCTCATAGGTCCCTTCTCTTTAAATTCCCCTCCTCCACGTACTCTCCACCCTCTCTGCCTGCTTCCTCCTCTCCTTAGGAGTTCTCACCATCCGAGGTCCTTGCCTGCAAGGATTTGCCTGTTTAACATCATCATCTCAGGCTATAACATAAGCTCCAGGAGGCAGGCACTGTTGTGTGTGTGTGTGTTTTCTCCTCTTCATCCCTGCTTAGGAGAGTGGAGGCACGTGGTAGGCAGGCTATATGTTTTTGTTGAATGAATGGAGACACTGCAAAGATTAAAAGCAGGAGGAAAAAGGAGAGAGGACAGGGGGTAAAATTTTATTATCACTGTGCAAACACTCACCCTCCTTGGGACATAAATGACTTGGGGAAATTATCTAACTTCTCTGGCCTCAGTTTCCTCATCTGTAACATGGAATTATACCTACTGCATAGTATGTGAAGGTTACATGTGGAAATGCTTGGGTGGGGTGAACGTTGTGTGGAGCCTCGTGTGATTATCCATCTCTCTCCTCTCTTCATCCCCTTCTTTTCGTCTCTGCCTCTTCCCCCCTTTTTTTTGCCTCCCTTCACCTGTAAGCTGTCATTCCTGTTGTGGTCCAGCACCCGACCTCATTCCAGCTCCAGTGGTTATGGCATCATTACCCCACCAGACATTCCTGGGGCTGACCCGCATCTCAGTTTCCTTCAACCCTAACAGCCGGGGCGGGATGGGGGTAATTGAAACCGGTCACGCATGACCCCTGTTCTGAGATGAGCTGTCACCATTAGCAGTTTATAGTTCTGAGGCATTATTTCGCCAGACAATGCAAAATACAGTCCTCAGCCATTTTTAAAGGGTAGCAGGTGGGGAGAGGGGAGGAGTCGCCCTGGAAACTCTGGGCTGGGGCTTTTGCTGCTCTGACAGTTTCTTCTTCCTGTTGAGAGTCAGTCTGGATGTAATCCTGAGATCTGCTGGCTGAGCTAGTGTAGATGGATTGCTGGCTCATCTTGATGCTAATTGCTCTGGGAGGAGGGGGGACTGCTGATGAGGGAGGGGACCATGCTGGTTGGCTGGGCGGGGCCTGGGAACCCTGGCTGCTCGGTGTGTGTGTGTTTGCATGCCTGTGGGTGGGGAGGAGGGTGACAGGGAAATCCCAGAGGATGAGATGACTTTCTAAAGCCACCGCCTCCTTCAGAGTGTTTCCATTCTGCCTGGGGACAAGTCTGCGCTGGAGAGAGACACTCAATGGGAGGTGTTCATGCTGAGACCTGCCCCAGTGGGAAGGGAGACTCAGGAGTCTCCCTCAAGAAAGAGGGGGCGATGGGAAGGAGCCAAGGCCCTCTAGCCCTCTGCCCTGTCAGGTCAATGGTGCTGGGATAGAATTTAAACACCTCTCAGGAGAGACAAAGCACCCCTCTTACTCGAGCCCATCCCCACCCTTTCAAGCAGGATGGTTTTTCTTTTTTTTTCAGGTTTAGCCCAAATTCCTCACTTGTCCACACAGTGTCAGGGTGAAATGATGCTCTTTGTTGGCATGCAAGTCAGTCCACAACAAAAAACCTTCACTGGGTGCTGATATGAGCCTGGCATCGAGCTAGGTGTGGGGATGCCGGCCAGCTGGGTGCAACCCTCTTCCTTCTACCAGACACAGTGATCCTAGGTCCCCTCCTCCACTTACAGGTTTCTGTGGCCATTTCCCCCAATCCAAGCCCCAGGGGGAGAGTGGCAGTAGTGTCTCCCTGGCACCCCTGGTGGGACCAGGATGAGGAGGGGACCCAGGGAACCCAGAGTGTGGGGCAGAGCACGCCTGAGGGAGGGGGCAGTGGGGCAAGGAAGGGTCTCCCCGGGGTAAAAGGAGCAAGAAAACGGGAGACATTCTGGGGAGACAAACAAAAACAAGGAACTTCATTCCAGGTCCTCCACCCAGGCCTCTTTGGGCTGTTCCCCACCTGTCCTGGCGGGGGCGCTCTGGGAAGGGCTGTGATTTGAACTCCCGAGACCGAGTGGAATGCAGGGAGGCTCTGGCTTCAGCAGACATCTCTCCCTTCCTCCGGAGGGCAGGGCAGGGGCCTAATCCTCCCTGTATCCCTGCACCTGGCACAGGGCGGGTCCTGGGAGAAGCTCGGGAGGTGTTTGCCCAGCTGATGGAGTGAAATTCTGGGGCACCACCAGGAGGCACTTTCTTCCCGCCTGCCTAGTGTCACCTCCTCTCTGGGGAGAAGAGGAGAGTGAGGATTCAACTGCACATCACTGAGGGGGGATCTCCTGGGGGGAGCTCTGAAGGGGCATGCTGGGGCCTCTAGCTTATGTCCGGGACAGGGCCACCCTGGGATGGGAATTCCCACAGGGATGGTCACCAGGCTGGAGCCCACCTCTCTGTGAAGGTGGAGGAATCTTCTGTTCTCCTCCTTTACTCCACTGGGGTGTGGATAGTCGTCTGTGGGACAGAGGTGGCCTATTGTCATCTCTGTTTTTGCTGACTCCAGGCTGGAGTGTCTCTGTAGTTTTCAGAGCTTTGGGTTTTTAATCAGCAAGCAGCTTACTGGCTCTAGGGCAGGTCCAGGGCGACAAGGCTTCAAGTGGGAATGGAGGCCGTGAGGCCCTTGTTGTCCCATCTCCTCTCTTTCCCTAGGTGTGGATGTGCGTCCCTGAAGTCACCGGCTCTCACCCGCCTGACTCTGCGTGTGCCCTGACTCACGGTTGCTGATCCCTCAGCCTTGAACCCCCCTCCCTACACCCCACCCTGATGCCATGGGCTTCCTTGCTTCCTCTCAGTTTTGCTGGCTTTTGGGGTCCAGCTTACCTGCCCCTCCTCAGGGGACCTACCCGAGGCCTGTGACTAAGGTGGGACCCTCAGTTCTGTCCTCTTTCGCAACAAGCCTGACATCTATAATTTCATGTCTAAGTCTGTACCCTCAAGTAGGCTGTAAGCCCCAGAGGCCTGGATTGGAGCCAGGGCTCCATTTTTTAAAGACAGTTTTTTTAAGATATAATTCATGGATCATATAATTCACTCATTTAAAATGTACAAGTCAATGGTTTTAGTATATTCCCAGATAAGTGCAACCAACACCGTAGTCTATTTTAGAATATTTTCATCACCTCCAAAGAAAGCTTTGTCTGTCACCCTTACCCCATCTTCTCCTTCCTCCAGGCCTAGGCAACCACTAATATGCCTTCTGGCCCTATAGGTTTTCCTAATCTGGAATTTCTTATGAACGGAATCAGACTGTTTGGTTTCTGTGTCTGATTTCTTTATCTACCTTATGTTTTCAAGCTTCATCCATGTTGTTGCACATATTAGTACTTCACTCCTTTTTATGGCCAAATATTATTCCACTGTATGGATAGATCACATTTTGATCATCCATTAGTCCATTGATGGACATTTAGGTTGTTTTCACCTCTTGGGGATTGTGAATAGTGCTGCTATGAACATTCATGTATGAGTTTTTATGTGGCCATGTTTTTTTGTTTTTAAATTTTTACTGGCGTGTAGTTGCTTTGCAGTGTTGTGTTAGTTCCTACTGTACAACAAAGAAATCAGCTAATGTGTCCATATATCTCCTTTTTTTAAAATTTTGTTCTTATTTAGGCCACCACAGAGCACTGCGTAGAGTTCCTTGTATGCAGTAGGTTCTCACTAGTTATCTGTTTTATACATAGTATCAGTAGTGTATATGTCAATCCCAGTCTCCCAAGTCATCCTGCCTCCCCTCTCCTCCCTTGGTGTCCATACATTTGTCCTGTGTGTGTTTTCATTTCTCTTGGGTATCTACCTAGGAGCGGAATTGCTGGGTCACGTGGTTGCTCTAATGTTTAACATTTTGAGGAATTACCAGACTGTTTTCCATAGTTTACAGCCCCTACTGTGGGCTCTAGGTACCATGTCTTCTGTCCCTACAGGTAGGTACCATGTCTATTGTCCCTACTGGGGCTGCCCTGTTCACCACTGTGACACCAGCCACTGGGTGGCCTGACCCATAGCAGGTGCTTAATAATTACATTGGGTGAATGAAAACTGAGTGGATGGGTCCTTTGGAATAAGATGCCCATAAATCAGTAACCCTTGTCTCTTCAAACCCTGTCCTTGCAGTCTTCTCTGTGAACCTCTCTCTGACCCCCTTGACTGGCATAATTACCAGTTGCTTTTTCTTGTCACTTCCAACCTCTCTGGCTGTCACTACTTATGACTCCCCTCTGAGGCTGAGTCCCCTCCAGGGTTCCGAGGGTGTTATAGTCACCTCTCTGTCACCAGCTCCTAATGCAGGGCTTGGCACAGAAGAGATGCACTGTGAGACAGGCTGTGGGGTAAGGGAGTGCTCAGGAGAAGGGAGCACGGGGGGAACATCTATGGTGGGGGGATTGTTACAGGGGTCAGTGAGGCAACATGGAGGGTATCAGGGCTCCTCTGAGGGTGGAACTGCTGCCACCAAGTCTCAACTCCAGGTCTTGGGGCCGCAGAGAGGGAGAGGAGCCTCGAGGATGCCCCTCGCTAGCCAGGCTGCTACATATCTTCCCTGCCAGCCCCAGGCCTGAATCTGTCCTGCACCGAAGGTAGATGTGGTACACATAGTCCCAGCTGCGGAGGCAGAGCCTCCAGGCCCAGAGGCTGCTAAGTACAGACATGGTATGAGGGGCCATGGACTTTCTCTAGGACATATGCAGGGGACCATGTGGTGAGGAGGCCTGTGGGGAATAAGACTATGGTTTTCAACATGGCAAGTGACTTGTAAACTCTTGTGGTATGATGTGCAGGCTTTAAGTATAATTTGTATGGCTCCACACCTGCTCCACAGGCCACTTGCCAATCATTCACATGTAGTTTTCCCATTTGTATAATAAACTCTGTTTCTACTTCCAATGCCCCCAGCTGGCCCCCAGGCCCCCAGAGCTGTTCCTCAGTTTCCCTTCAACCTCACTATCCTCAGAGCAGGGTGAACAATCCTGATTCCTGTAGCCTGGGAACAGTTTATTGGGAATAGACAAGCCCAGAGGCTCATGGCAGAAACGTGGATCCCTGGGAGGGCAGGAGGCAGCACTATTGGGACGGGGAGTGCTCTAGGGAGGTGAGGTCAGTTCAGTACCTTCTCCTCCCTCACAGCCCTGAGGCAGAGCCTCCAAGTCTGCTGAGGCAGCCCCTTATCACTGTAGCGAGGAAAACATGTTCACATCAGACCCAACGCAAGAGGAACTCAAGGGAGAGGGAGCTGGCAGGGGGTGGCTATGTACAAAAGGTGCGGGCATGCCTGATTCCATTGAACGAATAATGTCAGCTCTTGATTGTCCCTTTGTTTTAGGCATTTCTTTGCCATCAGCTGCCAATATCAGCTCAGGAAAGAGATGTATTTTTATAGGGCCAGTTCAATACAGCTGAGCAGGTAAATCTATTGCCCAAAGACCACCTCTTGATTCTGTGTGCTGAGAGCAACATTGACAGATTCCGAGTGATCCTGAAATCCTGGCATTTGTCTTAGGAATTTGGGATGGGATTTTGGGGTGTCTCCTTTTGATATTTTCAATAGTGCATGTATTAGGTGGGTGCTAGAAGGAGTTCACTTTTCTCAGGTTCATGAGAGTCCAAAGTAAGAGAGGAGGAGAATGTCTGGGGATGAGGGGAGGCACAATTTGTGTGGCAAGTTCCATGGGATGATCCACAAAGCAGAACTGTGATGTGCCCCTTTGACCTCCTGGGGAAGAGAAGTGTTAGGGGGCCATTGCCATTTTCTTGGCCACACTAGAGCCAGACTGTCAGCAGTCCAGGGAGACGAGAGATGTGTTTTCTGCCTTTGTACCCTACCCTCACCCGAGGGCCTCGCTCAGGATCTGCACACAGCTAGGTGAAAAGAGACTCTCGAAGATACAAGGGGCAGCTCCCAGTGAAAACCCAAGGGGAATCTTCAATCAGTACAGAAAGGTGGAATCTTGGAACAGCCTTGTCTTGAACCCTGGTTGTGGGGGACAACATCCCAGCCTGGAGCTTGTGCCCTATCCCCTGGGCTACTAACTTCTGGGGCTGTACTAACACTTGTGGCAGGAGGAGCTGCCCCCAGCCCCTAGCTTCACACTGGAGCTCCGCCTGCTCCCACAGACGAGGAGCCCCTCGTAGATTTCACCAGTGCCCACGATGCCGCAGCCCCCACTGCTCTTGAGGACACTGGTGCTCCCTGGACAGTACACAGGCGTGCTGACCACACATGGCTCGTAGAGGATGGCACCTTTGGAGCTGCTCACAGCTGTGGGAACAGGAAGGGATGTTCAGGGCCCTGCCAGGCCAAGCCCCCACCCCCCTCGCCCCGCACCTGCTGTCGTCATGTCTAAGGACACCCCCATCCCAGTTACCAACTTCCAAGTTTCCTATTGTTGTTTAGTTGCTCAGTCATGTCCAACTCTTCTGTGACCCCATGACTATAGCCTGCTAGGCTCCTCTGTCCATGGGATTTTCCAGGCAAGAGTACTGGAATGGGTTGCCATTTCCTTCTCCAGGGGATCTTCCTGACCCAGCGATCGAAACTTGTGTGAGGAGTCACTTGTGTCTCCTGCACTGGCAGGCAGATACTTTACCACTGAGCCACCGGGGAAGCCCAAGTCTCCCATTCCAGTCACATAAAGTGCTTAGCAGTTCCCCATGTGTCCTTCCTCTTGCCCCAGAGCCCTGTCTTCTGCTTTACCCTCTCTTTCTATTTGTCTGCATGCTAAGTTGCTTCAGTTGTGTCTGACTCTTTGTGATCCTGTGGACCATAGCCCACCAGGCTCCTCTGTCCATGGAATTCTCCAGGCAAGAATACTGGAGTAGGTTGCCATGCCCTCCCCCAGGGGATCTTCCTGACCCAAGGATCAAAACTTTGTCTCAGGCGTTTCCTGCCCTGGCAGGTGGGTTCTTTACCCCTATCATCACCTGGGAAGCTCCCTATTTGTCTGCTTCAAGTCTTGTTTCTCCAGGAAAACATCCTCTTGTCTATATGGTGCCTGGCACCACACTGGTGGTGTCTGCTCCTGATTCTGACTCCCATAGGCCTGGGTAGCCCTGAGGGAGAGCCTCTCCATCCATCAGGAGCTCTTTTCTTTAGAGTGAGAGAGACAAGCTGAGGTTTGGGCATGGGGCAATGTGGTCTATGTTTGAGTGTGGTCTATGTTTGGCTGAATCAGTTCCCAAGATCCCAGAGCCCCTGCGGAGTGCTCAGTACTCACAGATATTCACAGGTCCAACACCTTCACACAGCCTGGAGGTGAGAGGGAAAGGAGACACAAAGGAACTGCATCAGACAATGAGAAAAACACGGCAGCCCCTCCTCCTGCCCACACCAGGGACCCTGTCAATGAGGAGGGACTGCAGACTGCATGCTGTCTCAGATTTTCCATGGATGAGCTGAGGGGTGGGCAATGGCTGTAGCAGCAATCAGAGGGCAGGAGAATAGACATCCCTGACCCACCTCTGCTCCTCGCCCTCCAGTAGGCGCCTGTAGGTGGCGATCTCGATGTCCAGGCCCAGCTTGGAGTTCATCACCTCCTGGTACTCCTTGAGCAGGCAGGCCATGTCCTGCTTGGCCTTCTGCAGGGCCTCCTCCAGCCCGGCCAGCTTGCACTTGGCATCATTGAGGGCTGCCTCGCCCTGCTGCTCCGCCTGGGTCACTGCAGCCTCCAGCTTGCAGCGCTGGGGGAGAGAGCACAGAAAAGTATTGCAGGGGCCCAGGGGCCCTGGGACCCTGGGCCGACTCTCAGAAGAACAGAGAACATGGTCATTGTGAGATAATTGAAAATAACACATATTGGTCTCTTCCCCCATTTCCTGGCACAGAACTCCTCCAAACATTATAGTTCCTTAAGTGATGAGCACTCCGGGAGCATCCTTTGTCCTCATCTTTGGTCTCTGACCCTGTGTCTGACACAGAGTCCCTAAACCCCTTAGAATTTCCTGAGTGTTGACAATGTCTTTTGTTTAAATAAGGTGACTCTAGGTGGGCTCCTGGGTGGCGGCTGGTCACCAGAAAAACCAAGCCTTGATTAGAAGCTGGGAATTTTCAGCCCACCCCACCATTCTCCCAAGAGGGGAGAGCAGCTGGGAATTGAGGTGATAAATGATGATGCCGATGTGAGGAAACCTCCATAAAATCTCAATAGTAGAGGATTCAGAGAGCCTCCAGGTTGTTGAACAGGTGGAGGTATGGGGAGAATGGCATACCTGGAGTAGGCATGGGAGCTTCGTGCCCCTCCCACACACTTTACTTTATCCACCCCTTCCACCTGGGTATTCATTTGTATTTCTTATCATATCCTTTTATAATAAACCAGTGCATGCATGGGTGCTCAGTCATATCTGACTCTTTGTGACCCCATGGACTGTATCCTGCCAGGCTCCTCTATCCATGGGGATTTTCTAGGCAAGAATACTGGAGTGGGTTGCCATTTCCTCCTCCAAGGTTATCTTCAAGACTCAGGGATTGAACCCACATCTCCTGTGTCTCTTGCCTTGGCAGATGGATTCTTTACCACTGTGCCAGCTGGGAAGCCCACAATAAACCAAAAAAGTAAACTATTTTCCTGAGTTTTGTAAGCCACTCCAGCAAATTAATTGAATCCAAGGAGGGTGGTCATGGAGACCTCCAATGTATAGCCAACTGGTCTGGAGTACAACCTGGACGTGTGATTGGTTTCTGAACTGTGGGCAGTCTTGTGGGACTTGGGGGGCAGCCCCTAACCTATGGGATCTGATGTTATCTCCAGGTAGGTAGTATCAGAAGTGAGTTCAATTGTGGAACACCCAGCTGGTGTTGCAGAGCTGGCTGGTGTGGAAACACTCTTCCGCGATATCTGGTGTCAGAAGTGTTGTGAGTGTGACTGTGAGAGTGAAGGAGGGACACAGAAGGAAGAGTGAGTTCTTCCTACAGTCATGGTTATGTGCCAGGTTCACATCTGCTGTGGGTATCAGCCTAGAATTGTGACATCTGGTTCCCCCAGGGGATGGAGGCCAGTTCTCCTGTCTATGACACCTCAAGGAGATCTGAGAGTTTCCTCTTAGATATGCCAAGCAATTACTTTGTGGCTAATAGGGTTTAAGCATCTGCCTGGTCTTCACTAGCCTAGGAGGATAGGGTGGGTCTGATTTTATGGACTCTGCAGCATCACCTTGAATTTCAGGATCATAGAATTAGAGTCTTTGGTTGGAAAGGGGTGTGGAGGACATCTTTCTATACTCCCACCTCATGAAGCATTCTTGCTATTTCATCTTGATGAATATAGACTGCCTAGTCTCTGTTAGGGGCCTCACTGTTTCCTGACCCAGCTTATCCTGCTGTGGATCAGCTCTTCTGAAGAAAGGGCTCACTCCCTCTCATGGGAAACAGTGCACGTTTATTCCCTCTTCCTCAGGTCCCCCAGGGAGGATGAACCTGCCCTGCACAACCAGGACCAGATGGCGGGTCAGCCTGTGGTGGCCTCACCTGGGCTTTGACATTCTCAATGTCTTGCTGCAGCCGCTGGATCAACTTGTTTATTTCCAGGATCTCGTTCTTGCGGTTGCGGAGGTTGTCACAGTGATTCCCGGCAGTCAGCTGAAGCTCATCATACTGCAGGACAGGGAGGTCAGAACCTGGGCACCCACCCTGTGGTCCCTCTCAGCCCTCATTCCCACTGTCCCCAGGATCCTCTCTCCTGACTCCCTTCATTGGGTGCTCTGGATTCTTACACTTGTTATGTTTCCCCAGCCCCTTTCCAATTCTGGTCCTTTTCTGGGCTGCTGCTTATTCCCTTCTCGCCTCCCAGCCCTGGACCTTCAAGCTTATTAAATTCTCCCCTAAGCTCCAAGCACCCTTCCTCTCTGTTTCGTGATTCTGTGTCTCATCCTTTTCTCTCTGCCCTGGAATTTCCCTCCCTTTTGCTCCATCTGTGCCCTGGACCTTGGAGGGGGTTTATGCCCTCGCCCTGGGGTACCTAACAGACCAAGAACTGAGAACCCAGAACACCTGCCCCCTCAGGGTAGACATATTTGTATGTTCTCCCTCAAAACCATTGGAAACAAAATTCAATGTTACTTCCTATCTTGGCTTAACACTTTTTTTTAAACCTCTGCACATAAAATCTAATTTCATAATAGTGAATTATAGATTACATCGATAGATTTTTAAAAGTTAGCCAACTGTATGCTTTCTGCATATAATGGATAGGAGTGTTTTGCATAGAAAATGCAAAACTAGATAAGCATAAGTCACCCTCTTTGGTTATTGTGAAAAAACTGGTAGTTGCCAAATCACTATCCATACTTCTTTTCCTCAGACAGAACCCCAGATAAAAGAATATTTCTCAGCTTTCTCTTCAATGAGGTGTAGACTGTTGCAGGATAGGGCTTTTAGGAAAGCTGTTTAAAGTCAGGGATGAAACAGATCACCAGCCCAGGTTGGATGCATGAGACAAGTGCTCGGGCCTGGTGCACTGGGAAGACCCAGAGGGATCGGGTGGAGAGGGAGGTGGGAGGGGGGATCGGGATGGGGAATACATGTAAATCCAAGGCTGATTCATGTCAATGTATGACAAAAATTTTGACAATTTATGACCAAAAAAAACTACAATATTGTAAAATAATTAGCCTCCAACTAATAAAAATAAATGAAAAAAAAATTCAGGGATGATTCAACTGGCATGTTCCTTTTGCCCTCTCTTCTTCCTTCTGCTTGGAATGGACATGTGAGATTGGTGGTATTGCAGCCATCTTAGGGCATGAGGATACCATGAGGATTGACAGTCTTAACAGAATGGCAGAATAGCAAGTTCGAAGGAGCCTGTGTTTTTGATGGTAACTTGGGGTCATCTATGGCAGTCTATTTCTGTACTTCAAGTTATTTGAGAAAAAAATAAAAAATGAAATTTGTTTTAACTATTATTTAAAATTTCTGATCTTCACAGCCAAGCACAATTGATAAATAATAGAGTTATCATTTTGGTTCTAACTTAGAAGGATGGGTAATTAAGATTGCTTTCCTTAAGGCCTGACGGGTGGCCCAGGAGAGCAATCAGAAAAGGAGCCCGCTGGAATGAGACCTGGCCGTGGCTGGGCCACAGACTGACTTACAGGGAGCTGACCCCAGGCTGGGGTTTGATACTTTGATACCTTGAAAAACCCAGGCTGGGTTTTTCTTCATGGATATGCAGAAAAAGGACAGAGCATTTCTTGGGACATTTCCTGAAAATTGGTATCCATGGCCTTCAGAAAAATGTCTAAAACATTCAGGGAAGCTCTTCAGATTGCTGTGATCTAGCTTTGCCTCCAGCCCCTTATCCTTCATGGTGCTTCACACTGGGGACACCTCCCTTTCATGCTTCTTTGGCCTGCTCCTGCTGGCTCTCAGCTAGACACCCTTACACCATGCTCTGCATATGGAAATCATACTTGGCTTCCAAGATCCAGATCAAATGCCAGTGCTCCTGTTTTTCCATACACAATTTGTTACTTCCAGCATCATCATACTGTACCCTTGGCCTATGGCTCTACCTTAGTGGTCACTTCATGCTATCTCGTATATCCTTCTGGCTGTTTACACCTCTCTCTCCCATGGACTGTAACTTCCTTGAGGATGGGAATAGTCTGACTCTTAGTATCCTCATGGTTCCACACACCCCAGTAAGGCCCTCCTTCCCTGGCCATCCTGTTAAAAACCAAATTCCCACCACATTCCCTGTGCTTCACCCTGATATATTTTTTTCCATAGCACATGTCCATCTAACATAGATACACTATACTTATATGTCCTGTTTGCCTGTCCTGCCCCTGCCTCTGGAAAATGAAAGTGACATAGAGGCAGGGATTATTGTTCTGTTTCCTGTTGGATCTCCAGCATCTAGAATGCTGCTTGGCACATGATGAATGTGAAATAAGCGGATGAATAAATGAGTGAGTGAATGAATGAATGAATGGTACCTTTCATAGATGGGGTAGGTGAGACTGAGATGATAGTATCTGTTAAGTCAGACTGCCCTTGGGGGCACAACTGCCCTCCCAGCAAGCCCCTAATTACCCAAGTCTGGGGCCACCTTAATCACAGTTTCTGCTCCACCATTAGTAGCCATTCCATGCCATTAGCCTCCTCCCACACCCGGAAACTCTGAGCCCACTTTGCCATCACTGCCAATTACTATTCCTTGAATGCTACTTAGGGAAGCACTTCCTGTGAGTCTATGAGTGTATAAAGCTGGGGAGCTCTGATGAACAGGTCTGGGCTGTCTGTGGGGTCTCTCCCACACTCATGGGGACTTGGCCTGAGGCTTGGTCGAAACAACAGAGGCTGGTGTGGCATGGCTCACATTTTCTCTCCTGATTGCTGAAGGAGAGTGGTTCTGGGGTCTCCCAGGCCCTGCCCAAGACTCACCCGGCTCTGGTACCAGGCCTCTGCTTCGGCTTTGCTGCGGTTGGCAATTTCGTCATACTGGGCCTTGATCTGGGCAACGATGCCATCCGTGTCCAGCTCCCGGTTATTGTCCATCTTCACAGTGACCGAGGTCTCTGAGATCTGAGACTGGAGCAGGTTTGTCTCCTGGGGGTGGGGGCCCCGGGTAAGAATGGGTGAGCTCTTTGAAGATAAACTTGGCAAGGGAGAGGGGAAGAAATGAGGACACCCAGCTCTGACATTCCCATGGCAGATTTGCCTAGCTGTCCCAGCCTTCCATCACCGACCTGCTCCAGTCCCCACCCTCCAGTTGCACTGAGACCCAAGAGCCAAGGCGTGGGCCCTCTGACTTCTGGGAGTCTCTCTGCCTGAGACCCAGCTGTTGCACATTGGCTTCTTCACTTGCCCACTTTTAAGCCACAGATGTACCCACAGGGCAGGAGCTTTCCCCGCCCATCATCCCTCCAGAACCGGCCCCTGGCGGACCACCTGTGGGCAGCATGGCTGCAGGTACCTCGGTATACAGGGTTTTCAGGAAGTCGATCTCATGGATCAGAGCTTCCACATTGATCTCCAGGTCAGAATTTATCAGGAAGGCCGTGTCCACATCCTGCAGCCAGGAAAGTGACAGTCATGACCTGGGGCCACCCCTCTGCCAGCTGGGCCACCTCCCAGGCAAGCTGGTGGCAGGTGGCAGGTGACTGGTGTGGGACCCACTTTCCTTACTTAGGCCCATGTGGAAGTGAAGGGGGTGACAAAGCCAAGGACCTCAGGCCTGGGCCTGGCATCCCAATGGGGAAGGATCAGAAGGGAATGACGTTAAAGGAGACGGGAGTCCATTCCTCAGAGCTCCCAGGGGCCCTGGGCAACAAAACACATAGCTGTCTATGTGAGGGGTTGTCAGGATGGTTTTCATCTCTGGGGATTTGAGTCAGAGCTTTTGTCTTTTGATTTGGCATTTGCCACATCTTCAGCTTCTTGGGGAGGTGTAAATACAACATTCAACACGAGTTGGGCGGTGGAAGCATCAGTCACTGCCCTTCTGGGGCAGGAAGCTGGCCTTCCTCTCCCTCAGGGTCAGTGGGGCTGGCACCGGGGTCAGCAAAGTGAGCCGGCTGCAGGCCCGGTCCAGCGGGTGAGTGTCCCCAGGCCCACTAGGCCAACTCAGAGTGCCTTCTCCCTCCGTGGGCCACCCTCCCTCACCTTCTTCAAGGCAACAAACTCATTTTCAGCACTGGGCCGCAGGGAGAGCTCCTCTTCATATCTGGTGGAAGGGGCAGGGGGAAAATATTTTAGTCATGCTGGTGGGGTTTGGAAGGGTGTAGGCATGGGGCCTGAGAGTAGGAGCCTCTGGGGACAAGTCACAGAATGAATGCCCTAGGGAGGCACCAGGTCTGGTCCTGTTTCTGGTCACCTCTGGCCCCTTCAGCCACTCAACACAGATTTTTTTTTTTATCATAGCCTCTTATTAGCCACTTTGTAAGTTTATGTTCCACCCCAATGCCTGGTAGCCTTTTCCTGTAATGAATCATTCTCTGGGAAGTCCTTCTTTTTTTTTTAATTAAAAAAATTATTTACTGGCTGTGCTGGGTCTTAATTGAGGTATGTGGGTCCTTAGTTACATCATATACGGATTTAGTTCCCTGACCAGGGATCGAACCCAAGCCCCCTGCAATGGGACATGGAGTCTTAGCCACTGAATCACCAGGGGAGTCCTGGGGAAGTCCTTCTTAAAGCTACCTTTGTTCTATCTTGCTGCTGAGGAAGCTTACTTCATCCAGTCATTTCCTCTGGGAAAATGGTGAAGAGTTGGCTGCCTGTTGCTGGCACACCTGTCTTTTCTTCTTGAAAAAATATTTATTTATTTGGTTGTGCCAGTTCTTAGTGGCAGCATGCGGTATCTTTTAGTTGCAGCATGTGGGATCTAATTTCCTGACCAGGGATTGAACCTAGGTCCCCTGCACTGGGAACATGGAGTCCTAGCCACTGGGCCACCAGGGAAGTCCCACAGCTGTCTTTTCTGGGTTGTTCTGAGAGTTGGCTGCGATAACTCCAAGCCCAGCTGACCCCGTGCCCCTCCTCGCCAGGAGAGCACTGAGCCTGGCCTCTACCTGCAGCTCAATTGCAGAGGTAGCAATTACCCACTTTACCAGATCCTCAGAGGGAGCTGAACTATTTCCTCTAGGCTCCAGGGAGCTCTTCGCCCACTCACTGCACCCCAAGGCAACGGAATCAGGGTCAAGGGTTTAGTCTGGCCAGAATGACTCAGTTTGATGAGCGACATCAAACCATTAAAAGCTTCTCGGTGCTTCCTGATGCCCGAGCTTCCGTTTTCCTGCAGAACTCAGCCGCTGCACAGGCGCTGGACGCTAAGCCTGCTGCCTGCATTTCAATCCCACTCTGTCCTGCACTTGTCATGTGACATGGGTAAGTGGCTTGGCCTTTCTTGGCCTCAGTTTCATCATCTGTAGAANATGAGCGACATCAAACCATTAAAAGCTTCTCGGTGCTTCCTGATGCCCGAGCTTCCGTTTTCCTGCAGAACTCAGCCGCTGCACAGGCGCTGGACACTAAGCCTGCTGCCTGCGTTTCAATCCCACTCTGTCCTGCACTTGTCATGTGACATTGGGTAAGTAGCTTGGCCTTTCTTGGCCTCAGTTTCATCATCTGTAGAATGAGAATATCACTGGTCCTGTCTCACAATTAGAAACATCACACAAGTTAATGTCTGCAGAACACTAGGTCAGTACCTGGAACAGGGTACTGTGTGTTTGCTAATTGTGTGTTTGCTCAGCATTGGTTAAATGCTTGGTTAAAATACCATTGGTTAAATAAAATAGCATTGGTTAAAATACCATTTGGCCTCATCCTTCTCCAACAGCCCCAGTTTTAAAATTCAAAGTCTTAATCTTGAGCTGCGAAATATGTCTCCTGACCACCTTGTATCTATGAAGAAAGGATCACTCCTGCTGAGAGGGCTGATCTCGCCACACCCACAGCCTTGCCACATCTCGCCTACCCTTCTGCTTGAGTCGTCCTCTCTCACTTGCACACTCTGGTCCTTCCTTCTGTCTCATCTCCTTTTCTGTGGTCTATTCTGAACTCCTCTTTTAGAAGAAGCAACTGGAATGAAACATATCCTTCAAGGCCTTGAGCAAACTCACACCTCCTCTGGGAAGCCTTCCTGGGCTGCTTCTGCCCTCTCACTCTCTTGGGCTTCCTCTTCCGTCCTGCCTTGTACCATGCTGTAGCTGCTGGTGTGCATACCAGGGCATCTTGCTGACTCTACCAGGACATCTTGAGGGAAAGAGCCAGACTTTTCCAACTTTATCAAACCCAAACTGCCCAGCACAGCTTCTGGCTTGGACTAGACATGTGGGTGACACCTGCAGCATGTGTGTCCCCAGCATGGCTCCACTCCACTGAACCCTCATTCTTAGCGTATTCACACTGTCTTTGGAGATGTGTCTCTCTCAGCCCTCTCCTGGCAACATGAGAGGCTCACCCAGGACCACGAGGCAATTTATCTGGGCCTCAGCTTCTTGAAAGAAGCACTGAATCTGGATTCTTGCAGGTGATGATTTTGAGTTGGACCAGGAAGATGCAGGGTAGAATATATTAGCCTGGATGTTACAAGAGAAATGCCACGGTGGGATTTATCAGGAAGAAGGAACAGCAGGAGTACAAGCTGGGAGGAAGGAGGGCTTGGGAATCTGTTTGGAGGCTAAGAAGTGTTCAAGATCTGTCAAGGGACTGATGGAAGATGAGGCACAACAGGTATGAGGGCGGAGCCCTGGAGCACTGGGAGCAGCAGGAGAAGACTCGTTTTACGTGAAGAGAGATAGAGCGTGGTGGGAAGGGGGATGAATACACATCTAAAATCTCAGAGCTTGTACAATGTGCCTAATGGGTCATAAGGATGCTCTGCCTACATGATCCCACCTGACTGTGTAACCACCTAAAGGTCTACGTTTTCAGCTTCCCATTTTATAGATGGGAAGCCCAATGCCCAGATTGTTTATGTCACTTGTCCTAGGGGCCCAGCTGGGTAGCAGTGGGGCAGACTCACTTTTTCTTGTAGCCCTCCAGCGTGTCTTGGAGGCAGTGGAACTCTGATGCCAGCCGGTCTCGGTCCCCGGTCAAGAAGTCCAGCTGCCTCCGAAGGGTGGAGATGTAGCCCTCGAAAAGGGGCTCGATGTTGTTTGAGCAGCACCTCTGTTGCTGCAGGAAGTTCCACTTGGTCTCCAGCAGCTTGTTTTTCTGTTCCAGGAACCGGACCTGCAGCCAAGAATAGGATGTCACGGGGCGGGGGCCCTGGGGGCCACAGCTGGTGAGAGTAAGTGCTGATGCCGGCAGAGGGATCCGTCTGTGCTCCAGCCTCCATCACATTGCTGCTGTCTCTCTGTCTCTCCTGCCTGGGGCAGCCTAGGGGACCCCCAGCTTCCACCAGGGGTTGTGTTGTAGTGGAAACAGGGCTGCCCCAAGAGGCCTGGGGTGGTTCCTCCTTCCAGCCCTGCCTGCCTGCCACCAGCCTTGTAACCTGAGCCGAGCCACCCAGCCCCTCAGGCTTGTTTTGCTGCCTCAAACTCCTACTTAAGATTACATAGGGAGAGCTTTGTACATCTTCATGCTAGTGGAAGCTGGTGAGGATACTGGAAATTGGGATTTCTTTAATTACAGCCCAGGGGTACTCAGGGAATAAAGCTCAAAGTTCGGTCCTAGCACTCAATGCTACTCTGCCCCATCCCCATCCTACATGGCCAAGTCCAAACCATGTCCGTGACATGGCAATGGGGAGAGCTGCTGGCCTACCCTTCATTTCCATGGCTTGGAGATCGAGATTAAGAGACACTGAATGAGTGGGCCGTGGTCACCCAGCTAAGCTAGTCACTGGCAGGGCACACACTGTCTCCAGTCCTCACCCTGGGATTTGCAGCTTGTGCACTGTCTCTCAAGAAAACGATAGAGAAAGTCACGTCATCTTCCTTCTGGTCAAAGGCCTGGTCACCAGAAGGCCCCCAGCCTCATAGATGGCAATGTGATGCAGCTGACGATCAGGGCTCACAGTGTTGGAATGAGTTTATAAGCAGAACTTAATGAGCTTTCAAAATAAAACTGTAAGTTTAACATTTTCCATTTACTACAAGTTCCTTTTGGGAGCACTTTTGTGAGTATTACCTCCTTTAATTCTCCCTCCATCTCTGCCCGCTTTCCTGGGGCTGGGAGTCAGGGTCCAGGTCTCCTGACTGCCATCCCAGGACTCTGCCCTTAACTTGGGACCACCAGGAACACCAGCTTAGCCCTTGGTGTGTATCCTGATCTCAAGAGCTTCCCTGGGATATAGGGACAGGCCCAGAAGCAGGCCCGAGGTGACAGGCCAGTTCGGCATCTTCCAAAGGCGGCACATCACCCTTCTCTCAAGGCTTTCAGAGCCGTGACCTGGGGGTTGAGAGATGTGAGACTTGGTCATGGCCATTTTGTGTCCATAGCTCTGACTGCTCCACCTTCTTCTTATCACAGACCTAAGCTGATGGCAAATTCCAGGGTCACAGTGCCCAAGGGTCTCCGCATTTCATGTCATCGGAAGGAAGGTCTTTCATTAAAGCCTCATCAGAAAGGGCAGGTCTCTGCCTCTGATTGCCCCAGTATCATCTCTTAAAGTCTGACCTGGAGCCCTCTTGGTGAGTTTATCAGATAACACCCACAGAGAAAGATAACATATTATAGAAAAGACAGACAAGCAGAAATGTCTGCTGCTGAGCCTGATCTAACCAGCTTTCAGTGACTAGGGGTCACGGAGCAGCCCCACCAGCAGCCCTAGGTTGTGGCTCCTGGAGCAGCCACAAGGTGCTGTCTGTCTCCCAAGGCCCTGGACCCGGCACCCACCTCCTACCTTGTTGATGAAGGATGCAAAGCGGTTATTGAGACACTTGATCTGCTCCTTCTCATCCCTCTTCACCCTCTGGACAGTTGGGTCAACCTCCAGCTCGAGTGGGACCAGCAGGCTCTCATTGATGGTTACAGGGGCGATGCAGGCAGAAGACCCACAAGTGGCACCTGCTCGGTATCCAAAGCCAGGCAGGCCACACCTGGAGGCGACCCGGGGCCGCCCGAAGCCCACGTTGCACAGGCTCCGGGAGCCGAGGCAGCCCAGGGCACGGAAACTCCCACTGCCCCCAATCTGGCATGGCCCCTTGCTCACTGCATAGTGGGTGACCACCCGGGGGAGGACGGCTGAGCAGGAGCTGAAGCCCTGGCCGCCACATCTGAAGCCCTGCTGGAAGGAGCGGCACGACATGGTGGGTGTGAGAGGCAGAGAGACGGCGCCCTGGCGGGAGGACAGAAGCGAGAGTTATCGGGTGAGCTCAGCCTCCGCCCTTTTATCTGGTCAAGGATGGAGGGCTGAGCTGGGCCAAACCCCAAATCACCGTGAAATCAGGTTTATGAGCTTGGCATATTGGCAGCTACTAAGTACCAAGGTGGATAATTAGGGTAGCAGAGAGCAAAGAGTAGGAGCCAATTGTCCATGCGGGTCGGACCCATAAAAATTCTATTTGTCCTCTTCCTTGCTTACAGGGGTGATGAAAGGGGCCAACCAGACAGATATTGGGTTGGCCAAAAAGTTTGCTTGGTTTTTTCTGTAAGATGGCTCTGGTAGCGCTTAGTTGTCTTTAACTTCATTTGAAACAATTTTGTTCGATTGTATTGTGACAGCTGTCATATCAGCGTGCATTAAAAAATCTTACCAAAACTCGTGAATTTTTGTGTAGGCGTTTTAATATTGAAGATGGAACAAAAAAGCAGCATTTCAGCAAATTACACTTTATTATTTCAAGAAAGGTAAGTTCACAACTGAAATGCACGAGAGGACTTGTGTAGTGTATGGAGAAAGGGCCATGACTGACTGAACATGTCAAAAGTGGTTTGTGAAGTTTCGTTCTGGAGACTTCTCACTGAGTGCTGCTCCATGGCCAGGTAGACCAGGTGAAGTTGATAGTGATCAAATTGAGACATTAATTGAGAAAAATCAATGTTACATCATGCAGGAGATTGCTGACATACTCAAAATAACCAAATCAAGTGATGAAAATCATTTGTACTGGCTTGGTTATATTCATTGCTTTGATGTTTGGGTTCCATATAAGTTAAGTGAAAAAACCTTTTTGACCATATTTCTGCATGTGATTCTCTACCGAAATATAATGAAAATGTTCCTTTTTAAAACAAATTGTGATGGGTGATGAAAAGTGGACACTGCACGATAATGTGAAATGGAAGAGATTGTGGGCCAAGAGAAATGAACCACCACCAACCACACCAAAGGCTAGTCTTCATCAAAGATGATGATGATGTATAAATGGTGGGATTGGATGGGAGTCTTCTGTTATGAGCTCCCTCTGGAAAACCAAATGATTAATTCCAGCATGTACTGCTCCCAGTTAGACCAGCTGAAGCCAGCACTCAATGAAGAGTGTCCAGAGTCAGTCCAGAGAAAACACAAAATCTTTCATCAGGATAGTGCAAGACTATGCTTCTTTGATGACCAGGCAAAGACTGTTACAGCTTGGACAGGAAGTTCTGATTCATCTGTTGTATTCACCAGCCATTACACCTTCAGATTTCCATTTATGTCAATCTTTACAGACTTCTCTTAATGGAAAAAAATGTTAATTCCCTGGAAGAATGTAAAAGACATCTGGAACAGTTCTTTGCTTAAAAAGATAAAAAAATTTTGGGAAGATGGAATTATGAAGTCGCCTGAAAAATTGCAGAAGGTAATGGAACAAAACGGTGAATATGCTGTTCAGTAAAGTTCTTGGTGAAAATGGAAAATGTGTTCTTTATTAATACTTTTACTTAAAAACCAAAGGAACTTTTTGGCCAGCCCTATATGTTGGTTTATTCAGTTGCTTGGCCGCAAGGAAAGTTAGAGTTGGGACTTTAGGCCCTTTTGTGGGTGTGGGGCAAGGGGTATGAATTATCTACCTGGCTGTTCTGGGATGGGCTTTCCTGATAGCTCAGTTGGTAAAGAATCTGCCTGCAATGCAGGAGATTCCGATTCGATTCCTGGGTTGGGGAGATCTGCTGGAGAAGGGATAGGCCACCCACTCCAGTCTTCTTGGGCTTCCCTGGTGGCTCAGCTGGTAAAGAATCTGCCTGCAATGCGGGAGACCTGGGTTCGATCCCTGGAGAAGGGATAGGCTACCCACTCCAGTATTCTTGGGCTTCCCTGGTGGCTCAGCTGGTAAAGAATCTGCCTGCAATGCGGGAGACCTGGGTTCGATCCCTGGGTTTGGAAGATCCCCTGGAGAAGGGAAAGGCTACCCACTTCAGTATTCTGGCCTGGGTCACAAAGAGTAGGACATGACTGAGCCACTTTCACTTTCACAGCTCTGGGATTAGAGGCCAAATTAGATGTGCTTGAGGATCCACTGTTTCCACAAAGCTGTTTCCATGTTTTTCTGCAGATGCTTCAGACCCAAGTACCCCTATGGGCTCCCAAGTGGTCCTAGAAGCCCCCTAGAAGAGGGAGGGAGGCTTTGGTCATGCGAGAAGCCTCCCTAAGCAGGCTGGGCCCTGGCCTTCTCAGGCCAGGTAGGGTCCTGACTGAATCAGTTACCCACTCCTCATCCTTCTAGGGCTCCTGAGATAGAAGGCTCCAGACACAGACTCTAGTCTCCAGGGGCCTGGTTAGTCCAAAGGAGGCTGCAGGGGACTCAAGAGGGGGTGACTTGTGCTTGAGGAGGGGAGAGGAATGGATGGCCTCCCTAAGACTCTTTGGGCCCCAGATGGCTGTTAGCATAACCGACGGCATCTTGACCCTTACAGTTCCTCCCGTCCTTTCCCTGACCTGACCTAGGACTGTACTGTGTGGTAAATCACTTTTTTGCCATCAAGGGCTTTGTGGTTAATAGATATTGCTTAATAATCATTGAGGCCAGGTGGCCCTATCTCTGTTGATCCTCAAGCAGTGATGACAACCTTCCCTGAAATATTCTGGGGCCCACAAGACCAGTTACCCACTCATAAACCCTGACTTAGTATTGCACATCCTGTTTCAAGCACCTACCCCTGAACCCCAAGTTAAATATAACATTATCCCTGTGGCCACTTGGTGGTGTAGAGTGCAGTTGCGAAAGCTTCCGTAACGTTGTCAGCCAGATCTCACCATGTGAGTAAGTTACCTTGTAATAAACTGATCCATTGATTATATGAAGCTGCTTGCCTTGTTTTTTTGGCTTCAAGATACCTTCTCAGTTAGGTGGACATGTTTTGTTTCCTCCATCCTCCAACAGGCCCCCCAAGTATGTACTGATGTCAGTCATTAGGTCAGAGCTCCTTTCCCTGTCTCTGCCCTCCCCATCCTGAGCCTCCCAAGGATGGATGCTCTAACCGGAGGACATTTCTGGGAAGGGTCATTGCCCTCGGGAATTGTTCAGGTGGAAGCAGGTTATAGGCTTTCTTCCCAGCCCCAAGGACACAGCTCTTTGCCGTTGCCTGAAATGCCTTCTTCTTTCCATCAGTCCCATCAGTGAAGCCACTGTAGCCAACTGGTCTTTCCCTTTCACACTGTGACCTTTCGCTAGGTTAAAATCAAGTCAACAATAATAGTAACATTTACTGGGTGCCTACTATGTGTTGGAACCACGCTGAACTCTACATCCATTATCCCGTTGAATTCTTATGATAACCATGATATAGTTTCTATCTTATGGACAAAGAAAGTGAGGAGCAGAGTGGTGGAGTAAAACTCCCAAGCCACACAGCTTGTCTGGGATGAGCGGGAACCAAACCCAACAATTCCGAAGGCAACGGGCCCCAACGCCCCAGGGGGGGGGGGCCTGGGTTAGGACTCAGGGATCTACTGTTAGTATGCATTGTATCCTCTCTGTTTCTCGGCTTCCTCACCTCTGGATTAGGAGACTGAACTCAAACATTCTTGTGCTTGGCAATTCTTAGTCTAACTGTGACACTTCACACTGGTGCCTTTTGCATTGTCTTGGCTTGGNTATGCATTGTATCCTCTCTGTTTCTTGGCTTCCTCACCTCTGGATTAGGAGACTGAACTCAAACATTCTTGTGCTTGGCAATTCTTAGTCTAACTGTGACACTTCACACTGGTGCCTTTTGCATTGTCTTGACTTGGGTCCTGGAGCAATGGCGAGGGAAGCCTGGGGCTTGGGGAGGTAAGGGGTGTAACAAGAGACTCTGGGCAATGGCAAGAGGCAGAGGTGGGTGGAGGTCCTGTTGCATGATGTCTGGGGGAGGGGATTCTCATTCTGCCCTGGAGTAAACCCTGTGGATAGATAGAACCTGCTCCCAGAGAACTCCATTTCTGAGGTCGTCCTCTGAGTGTGGCATAGGACACAGACTCAGTCAAGGCCTAGAGAGCTCGGTGACATTTTTATTGAAGCAATTTGAGGGGATAAGCAGGCACCGGAAGCAGGAGAAGTGTTCTGTCTATGGTGGGAAATGCAGGCCTGGACTGCACTCAGCGTCTCTGGGGGTGAAAGGTCAGCTCTAAGCAACCCCAGAAAGGATTGTGGCTGCCAGGGATCTGGGTCAGACAGGAGGGAGCTTCTGAAGGAATGCCCCAGCTCAGATCTTGGCATATGGTAGCTGGAATGGATGCCTGTGCGCCCCGGAGGGCTCTGGGATGAGGAGCAAATGGGGTACCTTTGCGGGAACCTATTTGGAGGCAGAGGGATGAACAGGTGAGCTGGGGATTCACAGGCTACTTCCCTGCTCCTGGTGCCTCTTGTGATTCAGTGCATGGGGGTCAGCAAAGCGGCAGGTCTTAGGCCTGGGGGCCGGGGCCCTTAGAGGGCAGGCAGCAGGGCGGGGGGCCCTTTAGCTCCTGTAACTCTTGCTGGACGAGGTCTTGGAGATGATGCGCATGCTGGAGCTGGTGCCGCTCATGCCACGGCCGCTGGTGGAGCTGAAGCTACCACCGCTGCTGCCGAAGCCGCTGCTGCCGAAGCCATAGCCGCCCCCGGTCACGCAGAGGCCGCCGCCCCCGCTGTAGCCCGAGCCCCCGGAGGAGGAGACCACGGCTGTGCAAAGAAGGCACAGGGCATACTGTCAGCCTCGTCCCTGGGTCCTGTGCCCAGGCACCTCCCTCCTACAGGCTCCCCAGGGAGCCTCACGGTCCCCATCATCTGCTGCCTCAGCGAACACAGAACATGGCAATTTTCATAGCTTGCCCAGCTGTGACCATAGAGGTCTCCTTGACAGGCCTGAGAGGATGCCCTTACTGTGATGCCCCTATTTTTCTGGGGAAGAAACAGGTGCAAAGACACCAAGTGGCAGGCCCAAGGTCACACCTGCCAGAGAGCAAAGCTTGGGGCCCCTGGGCTGTGTTCGTCCCTCCTCTCTACCCGGGGCTTTCCCAGTGGGTGAGACAGGAGGCCCCAGCTATTGTACGGGCATCACAGATTCCCAGATGGGCAGGGCCCGAAGGCGATTCAGGTGAACCTTCCCCAGACTAGAATCCCCTTACTGCCTCCCTGAGAGGTGATCCTTTTGCTTCTGCTCAAATCCCTTCTGCAATGGGGAGCTCACGGCCTTGGAGTATAGCTCCCCACAGCCTGTGGAACATATGAAGATGCCTCTTCAACCTACCCTCTCAGTGTCTGATTCTCCAGGTGAGGCATCCCTATTCCTTTAACTCACTAGTTTCCAGCCCTCCCTCATCCTGGTTTTCCAGCCTCCATCCCAGGGCTGGACCCATGAGGGCCCCAGGGAACTCTACATCCCATGCCCAGGTCTCCACACTCCATGGATGCCACTGGAGCCTTCTGGGTCCTTCTGCAGAATGAATCCCCCTGGCTTCTTCCTGGGACCTGAGGGCAAGCCTCTCTGCTTTCTTGTTCAGTTAATTTGCTTCAATTTTCAACACAGGCCTTTAGCTTTTTAATAGCCTCTTGTTAGTTTGAATTTCTGCCAGAACTAGCTGAAAACGCAGGTGTTCGGATGAGGGACCCATTGCTTTGTGAGTAGTCCTGTCCCATAACTGAGGTCCTCAGGGATTTGGGTGGAGTGGATTTGTGATTCCACCATGAACCTCTCTTGATCCCACTGGGAGGAAGGGCCAAAGAAGAAAGGGGTCTCCACAGAGCCTCTCAGAGAATCTTAATGATATCCTTGCCCCTGCTCATTCACTATCTGTTCACCAAAAATGATGCTGTTAGCTTCTGTTTTATCTCCCACTTTTCTGTCATCCCAAGACATTTACTCACAGATATTCACGGGCCCGACACCTTCTCCAGTGAGTCTGTTGCAGGAGGGGAGAGAAAGACATATTTCATTTGCTGAGAAGTTAGAGAACCCTGGTTTCTTTGTATTTAAAGCTATCAGCACATAGGGCTGACTGTGCTCTCGGCACTGTGCTGAACAATGCTTTTGATCATCCTTTTAGCTGTAAGAAGCTGATGTGACTCTGGGAGGGGACATTAGAAGAGAGATCAAATCCAAATATATGGTGAAATGGGGAGACAGACTCGTGCTCCCTATGTCGGGAGGGACAGTCAGATGGTAGGCCTCTTGGGCAAACACAGAGCCCCTGAGTCTCACCTTGTCCTGAGTGTGGCCACATTGATCATAGGGCCTGGGCAGAAACAGTCCTGCAAATGGCCTTCCAGGTAGTCATGGACCACCTCCTCCTAACACCATCTATCCTGGCCCCTGTTCTGGGTCCCATTGGAGCTCTGGGAATGACTTCAGGACGCCTCAGGAGATCATCTGAGTTTTAAGTCTGTTTCTATTCTGAGCATTTCTATTTGGGGCCTGACACTGTGGGGATCTTGGCCACTGTGGCATTGCTACAATGCTCTGGTGGCGTCTATCTGAACCACGGGAGGAGGAGGAGCTTTCCCACCTGCACTCCTCGCCCTCCAGCAGCTTCCTGTAGGTGGCGATCTCAATGTCCAGGGCCAGCTTGACGTTCATCAGCTCCTGATATTCACGCAACTGCCGCGCCATGTCCTGCTTGGCCTTCTGCAGGGCCTCCTCCAGCTCGGCCAGCTTGTGCTTGGCATCCTTGAGGGCCAGCTCCCCACGCTGCTCAGCATCGGCGATGGCAGCCTGGAGCGTGGCACACTGCCAGGAACACAGGAATTTATGAAATTGTCCACAAGGAAGGATGGAAGATATGGGCTCTAGGTTAAAAATGTGAAAGAATTTCCTGAAATGGATTTCATGCAAGGGAGGTTGGAGTATCATCATCTTTAAAAATAAAATTAATCTATGTTCTCCTTGGATACTTTGCGACTTAAGATGGAGAATGGTTTTCGGGGTCCCATTCAATATGAACCTCTCTGAATTGTGGGTAAGTAAAGTGAATCAGTTTTGCCATGTATGCCTCCAGAGGACAGCATCTTTCCAAGAGGAATTGATGTTGGACAGATCTCAGAAAGAAGGTCCTGGCCTTCCTGGTAGGGGCGGAAGACTACAAGTTTATATTTCTGGACAATCACTCATCTGGGGAGAACTCTCTGCATGGGCTGAGGCAGGGGAATGGATGAGATGGCCAATGGTTGCTCAGCTCTACCTGCTTCTTCACGTTTTCAATCTCAGAGCGCAGCCTCTGTATCACCCGGTTCAACTCAGAGATCTCCATCCTGGTGGAGCGGAGGTCTTCCCCGTGCCGGCCGGCAGAACGTTGCAGCTCCTCGTACTGGGGGTAAGGAGAAGGAGGAGAAGGGGCGGTGAGGCCAGAAAGTGGTGGCTTCCCAGGGCCCAACAGGGCTTCTGAGACAATGCTTAGAGGCACCTCCCTTTGCATGCAGCTGTCTCCATCAAATCTATTGCACTGTCTCTTGGCTCTGCCCCTCACTCTCCATATCCAAAGTCTCCACTCCACAGGTGGACCTTCCCATATCTCAGCTTTGGTCCTTCATCTTCATGTTTGGGGTCTCACCCCCACAAACTCAGCATCGTTCGGGGGTGCTTGTCCGTTTCTAATTTTAAAGGGAAGACCCAGAGGGATGGGATGGAGAGGGAGGTGGGAGGGGGGATAGGGATGGGGAACACATGTAAATCCGTGGCTGATTCATGTCAATGTATGGCAAAAACCACTACAATATTGTAAAGTAATTAGCCTTCAACGAATAAAAATAAATGGAAAAAAATAAATAAAAATAAAGCTCATTCATATTTGTTTTTTCTGGCACCAGGTCTTGTATCCCCAGGGACTCCTCAGCTCCAATCTGGAAAATGTCTTTGGGTAACCCCTAACCAGCTTTGCTCAGCCTCTCAGCCCCAGCTATTTCTACCTCTCATCTCTGGATGCAAGAAGCTAAACCTACCTCTTGCTCCCACCCTCCCTCTCCTGCACCTACTAGTACTAGTGGCCGGTACTGTCCAGCTGTCCCTTGCCTCTCCTCTGCAAGGCATCAGAGGGGTGTTCATCTTCCTCGGGGCAGGACTGACCACCTCTTGCCTTTGTCTGGCTGTTCCCCCAGGTCCTGACGAGGCTGCCTGAGCAGTGCTCTGACAGAGTGAGCCCCAAGCTGAATTCAGATCCCTCTAAGCCCGTCAGACTGGGAGGACAAGGCTCTTATCAAATCTGCCTTTGAAATCTCAGTTCTCTGAGACTGTTTCATGAAATTGACCTTGACACCTCACCTTGATCTGGTACCAGGACTCAGCCTCGGCCCGGCTGCGGTTGGCGATGTCCTCATATTGGGCCTTGACCTCAGAGATGATGCTGTCCAGGTCTAGCTTGCGGTTGTTGTCCATGGACAGGACCACAGAGGTCTCGGAGATCTGGGCATGAAGCTGTGCCAGCTCCTGCGAGGAGGCCCATATGGGAAAGATGAAGTTGGGTGTGTTTGCGTGCTTGTGTGTGTGTGCATGTGCAGGTGTGTTGTGTGTGCACGTGTGCACTTGTGCGTGTGTGTTGGGAGACTGCCCAGCACCCCAGAACACACTGGCACTGAGGGCCTCCCTCGCACCACAGGATGGAACAGTCTATTGAAGCCTGAAAGGGCTGAGGGGACAGTAGGCAGGTCACCGGGTTAACACCTGTTCTCTATCTGCACAGAAGGAGCAGCAGCTCAGGTAACTGTAGCCAAGATTCTCTAGAAGTCACTCCCACTGTCAAGGGCACGCACCTTGTTATAACCTGTCAGTTCGGCGATGTCTCATGTTCTGAGGAAATGCAAGCTTTCATTCCAAATAAAGTAATTATCTTGGGAAAGAGAGCTGAGTCAGAAAGAGCCGGAAAGCTGTGCTCTCCCAGCCCCATTTCCTAACCTTGCTCCATCCCTGCGCCTCAGGGAAGGGAAACGGAAACCACCTGGAAACAGCAGAAAGACCTGAAAAATTCAAGCCTAGGATCTGCCAAGCAGGTTAGATGGCACCTCTGAGCCTCAGAGAGACTAGTCCTACTTCTGCCTCCCATGATTTCTGTGAGCGTTAAATACACTCATGTTTGTTTGTATGGGGCTTCCCTGGTGGCTCAGATGGTAAAGAATCCTCTTGCAAGGCAGGAGACCTGGGTTCAATCCCTGGGTTGGGAATATCCTCTGGAGAAGGGAATAGCTACCCACTCCAGTATTCTTGCCTGGAGAATTCCATGGACAGAGGAGCCTGGTGGGCTATGGCCATGGAGTTGCAAAGAGTCAGACATGATGGAACAACTAACACTTGTATAAGATGGGTTTTAAAGCAGAAAATCCACAAGTAATTTGTTAATGATGACTTTACAGAATAATCTAAAACACTGGTTCCCAAAATGTGATCCTCAGACTAGCAATATCATCATACTGAATCAGAATTGGTGTTCTCACAAGATCTTTAGGAGATTCTAATGAGCTGTAAAAATTTAAGCATCACTGATCCAAAGCCCAAATCTGTAAGCAACAGTATCAATTGTTAATTAATTGTTAATTCCTTTCTTTATTAACAATGGGTTCATGCATTTCCTGCTTCAAGAAGTTATTATTTTGTTGCTATTGGGTTGCAATTTGCTTTTCCAAAATAGTTTTTCCTGATAGCTCACCTAGCTGGGGAAGTCTCAGCTCACAGGATTGCTGCTCAGCATTGGGAGCCAACATCACCCTGGTTTTCAGCATTGAAGTGAATATAAGCAGAGAAAATTATGGGTTTTTATTTTTTGCCCCCAAGTGGGTGGTCATTGAAGCCGCCTGAAGACCCAAAGCCCATGTTCCTGCTCCTGGAACATGACCAGATTGTGTTGGACATCACACACATGCAACCCCGTGAGCAGATCACCTGTTGTCACCAGGCCTACTTGTGATGCACACTGCACCCTGCATCCCTACCTCCACATCACTAACCTCATCTCGGCTGCTCCCCCTCACTCATTCTCCACTGGCTACATGGGCCTCCTTCCGGCATTTCTGGATCCTCAGTCCCTTGAGGTTATTACCCACCATCTGCCTTCCTCTGCTCCCTGTTGTGCATTTCTCCATCACCCCTGGAATTGCGAAGTTATTTGATTCTTTCCATGCTACCCATCTCCTGAAAGCTCCAAGAACTTAGAGCCTTGATTGCGTTTGCCCAGCGCTGTATCTTGCAGCCTTGAGCTCAGCGTTGGGCTTATAGAGGCACACAGCAAAATGCCTCTTCATGAGAGCCAGTTAATTATTTTGTGTGCTTCTAGAAGCACCTGAGGGCTCACTAGTTGCCACTTGATCTGCATAATTGCATCATCCTGCAGTTGCCATAGGAAAAGTAACAGGTAAATCTGAACTGGGATGGGTGAGCTGGGTTGCTCAGGTCATTCTAGGGAAACTGCAAGTAATTCGCTGACAGGCAGCTCTTTTGTCTGACCAACAGAAGATTCTCAAATTTCTCACCTTATCTGACCCACCAGCTGCCCTGGGCAAACTCACATTCTCCCTTGGTAGGGAGAATCTACTCCATCATTCAACTCAGGCATGGGGTGAGGAGCAGAGGGGAGACCAGGGAAGGGGCCAGCAGCCTCTGTGCTCAGCTGCAGCCCCCAGCCTCCAGCTCTTCTGGGGGGGAGCCCCCGGCCCTGCTTACCGCTTCATAGAAAGACCTCAGGAAGTTGATCTCATCCATTAAGGCTTCCACCTTGGCCTCCAGTTCCACTTTGCTCATGTAGGCAGCATCCACATCCTGAGCACAGAACATGCAGTCACTCTGAGTCCCACCGTTCTTGGGTTAGCCGGCCCCTCTGTGAGTTAGGTTGGAGGACTTCAGCTCCCGGGGCCAAGAGCATTTCTCTCTCCCAGGCTACGGATAGAGTGGAACTTACAGGGGGATCCAAACTGCATGTGGACCAGGTTCTTGGGGATCACCCATCTGCTCGTCAGCTGGTGCTCCGTGGAAAAACCTCTCATGTCACCTCCATGCAGTGAGGACGACATGAATCATCCTGAGCCCTTGGGTCTCTACTGCCTGTGGCCTCACCTTCTCCCTGAGGCTTCCCTGCCCCTTGCACTCTGTCCCTTAGTCCCCTTTCCACATTGCTGCTCCTGTTCTTCCTCCCTCTCCAGAGTAGCTCCAGGGCTGGATCTCCCCCTCCTTCTGCCCATCCACACTGAGCAGAAAAGTCCACAGTTTCTGGAGCTGGCCCCCATCCTATGCCCATTCTTGAGCCTGACTTGAGGTCTCACAGACTCAGCTCAGCACAGGGCCCATTCTGCTTCTCCTTTCCCCACATAAGATCCACATTGGGGAGGGCACTGGTGTTGATTTATAGCTCAGACTTGGGTGTCCTGGATCCTGACTCACTTCTGGTTATCTGGGTAACCTGGGGCAACTTATTTAACCTCCACGAACCTGAGTTTTCTCACTTCTAAAGTAATATGTGCTTCCAAGATTGGTTATGCAAATTAAATAAAGCCTCATATACAGGGCCGCAGACTTATGTGGCAGCTGTCACTCCTGGGAGAGGCTCCCTGGGCCTGGAGTCAGATCAGAGCACCCCTGTCTCCTCACCTTCTTGAGCACCACAAACTCATTCTCAGCTGCTGTGCGCCTGTTGATTTCCTCTTCATACCTGTGGGGAGAAGGAAGCGGATGGATGTTCAGAGCGGGTCTTCTAGGAGTGAGATCCAGTGGGGGGGGAGGGGGGTGTAGGTGGGAATCCAGAGCAGACTTGGAAAATGCGCTGCCGAAGGGTTGCTCTCCTATTACACGTATTACCCAACCCCAAATCCATCACACAACCACCCCTGTCCAAACAAAATCCAAACTCAAAACAACACAAAACAGAACTGCCCTCCATTCTTTCTGAGGTCTTTCTCACAGCTGTATTCTCAGAGGTCCCATGAAGGGGCATGATGCTTCCTTTTACCCACGGTCTCGCCTAAGCCAAGGGGAGGGACAGAGAACAGTAGAGGGGGGCAGTCTGGCCTAGGCCGGCGCCTGCACCCCATGGCACGCTCATGTTGTCTCACTGCTCTGTTCTTAGCTGCTGACCCACTGCCTGGGAAGCAAAGTCTTCAGGCTAATAAGAAGCCTCCCTTTTGTCCCCTCCACCAAGTTTTCTCATCTTCAATTTGTCCCTGAGCAGCAACCCCACTCTCCCTAGACCCCCTCACCCCACTGATCTCTGGGAAGGAAGTCTCAGGTCTGCTCTAGGTAACATTCCCCATTCCACCTCTTAAGCATCAGCCAATCCCACCCTCTTGGAGGCTGGGCTGTGGAGGGGGCTTCATCCCTTCTCCATATTGGATGAATAACCCAGGGCAGGTCCCTTAACCTCTCAGAGGCTCTTTCCCAACCATGAGTCAGCTTGTTGTTAGCTATATACTAACCCACAGGATGGATACCATCAGACTCTCCCCCACTTTTCTATTGCACCTTTTGTCTATAGAATCTTCAGTACTGTGCCTTCTTCCAAGTTCTCTGGGAAAACAAATCTGATTTTCCTTATTGTTTCCTAAAATTGTCTTTTCATTAAACATGATCATCTTTGCTTCACCCAACTCCATGCAATTGTCTTTCTCTGTTTCCCAGTTCACAGTCTGTCTGCAAGAGGGCAAGCCTCAAGTGGCCCTGCACAGGCCTCTTAGACACATACCACAGGAACATTGCTGTCCTTTAATCAACAGCACACTCTCCAACAGATTCCCCCATATCCCTTCAATGTGCATCGTTTCTTCACAAACTTGAGTTTTTTGCCTTTTCCTCCTGGAAGACTTCTTGGATTGAAATACTGTTATCCAATATTTGCATGATATTATAAATTGTCTGTCAGCACTTGCTTCTCTTGTCTATGTTTGCATCACTACATACATTATACTTAATCGTCAATATAACAAAAATAGCTAACATGTGTTAACAGCTTACTATGTACCAGGCACTGGCTACCCTATTGAGTACTTTACAAGTAAGTGTTGCTTTAATATTCCTAGTCTCACTATGAGGTGGGTACTATTAATATCCCCTTTAACAGACAAAAGAACTAGGACTTAGAGAGTTTCACTTTCTTTAGGTATTGAGTCAGTAAATGATTGAGCCAAGAATGTAAATCTGAGAATTTCGCTAGTGGTCTAGTGGCTAAGATTCTACACTCCCAGTGTGGAGGGATCCAGGTTCAATCCCTGGCTGGGGAACTAGATCCCATATGCCTCAACTAAGACCTGATGGAGCCAAATAAATAAATAAATATTTTTAAAAGTCTTAAAGAAAAATAATTGTCAATCTGACTAGGTTCTCTAGCACTGTTTGGCAGAACTTCTGCCTTGATAGAAATGCTCTATACCTGCATGTGTTATGGGACCCGTTAGTCATTTGTGGTGACTGAGCATTTGAAATGTGGCTAGTGTCATTGAGGGCCTGAATTTTAAGTTGAATTTAATTTTAATTTAAATTGTCTCATATGGCTTGTGGTTACCATGTTAGAGCAACTCTAAAATCTGGGCTCTCGTTACCTTATACAAATGGTAACAAAAACTGATTTGTTTGGCCCAAGAACAAACATTAAAACTAAATTAAAACCATAAAAATAAGCAATTATTGGTATCTTTAGGTATGAGCATACCATTATGTTTAGCAGGGTGTGTGTGTGGTTCCAGGGAAAGTAGATACACCTCCTTGTTCTTCATACCCCAGCCTTGGCCAGGGTTGGGGTGGATATGTGAACATTGTGTAAGTCAGCAATCAGATTGAGTTGAACAAATGTGAGCATGAGATTCTATGGGTGTGCCCTGTTCCCCATTGGCTTGGGCACTTCAGCGGAGCCCAGGGCCTCCCCCAGAGCCTCAGGGCTGAGCTACCACTCACTTGTTCTTGAAGTCCTCCACTACTTCCTGCATGCTCTTCAGCTCCACCTCCAGCCTCGAGCGCTCTCCCCCAAGGCTGTCCAGCTGCCGCCTCAGGTTGTTGATGTAACCTTCAAACATGGGCTCGAGATTGGCCCTGGTCGCTTTATGCTCCTGCAGGAGGCTCCATTTGGTCTCCAGGACCTTGTTCTGCTGCTCCAGGAACCGCACCTGCCGCCGCCAGAGGTGAGAACCCATGAGCATGTCTTTACAGCCGTTGCTTCGCAGAGGGCTCTGGGATACAGGACCCCCGACAGTGTAGGGGGAGCCCTGCAAGATCTCAGAGTCCAGGTGGCAGGCTCCTCCTCCTCGTTCTCATGTGGGCAGGAGCCTGGGATGTAAATAGCCAAGCCCATGTTGGTGCAATGTGGCTGGGAGACTGGCTAGTAGCTGGGTTTGGAGGTAAGAGTAGGCAGGAGGGCCAGAGGACCAGGAAACCATCTGAATACATCAAACTATGCTGATGTGTGATAGCTGAAGAAAAGAACACTCTACCATGTTACTGAGTGAGATCTTTGGTTCCCAATAAATGGGCAAGGGGTTCTTAGCAGAAAATTCACCCATTTGCTCTCAACATGATTTCTCTAGATCTAGAATCTGGACTCAGTTGCCACCACAATCCAGGAATGCTGAAGTAGATCACTCTGGAGTCACCTTATGGGGATCTGGATACAATTTCAGCCATGTCCCTCATGAGCTATGTAGCCTTGGACAAGCTCCTTCTTGTCTCTATTCTCTCAGATCTCAGGTTCCTCTGGTCTTGTGCTACTAATCTGTTTTTCCTGAATTGCACTCAACAGCTCCTCAAGCTGGGAGACAGCCTTAGGAACATGCAAAATCTTTTTCTCTAAACCAGTCCCTCTGTTGAGGGCAGTTGGAGTGACACACAGCCTCAGAGAATGAAGGAACAGAGCCTCCAAGACTTTGGAATTGGCAGTGTGCCTACAGACGGTCTTTAACAAATGCATCCCACTCCCACTTCCATTTTCCTGGCTCCAGTCCTCCCCAGCCATATCCCCTCATTCCCCAAGACCCCTCCAGATGAACTGTGGAAAAGCAGGGCCCACATCCTTCCCCTCAGAACCGGGCTCCTGTAAATCTCACATCTGTTGGTGCAAGCATCACGTCAAGTGGAGGTCATGAGTGATAAAGGCTCCAGCAGGTTAGGTTTATGCATTCAAAGGTCTGAGTCCATATGATGAGGCATTTCATAGCCTGTTAGACCAGCAAGAGGACCTTGGAGTCCATCTGTTCAACCCAACTGAGGCCTGAGAAGTTAGGGATTCTCCCAGCGGGAGAGCTGCCACAGGAGCTGGTTGCCCCTCAGTTTAGCACTCTTTCTTTCAGATGCCAGGATTGGAGCCTGAATGATTCTTGGGATGGTTCTTCCCAGATGAAAGCAATCAGCTCTAGTGTGACCTGGCAATAGTGCACACTAGACTGTTTCTTTCCCCAGAACTGGGGAAAGCCTTAGGGTTCCAGGCCAACAGCAGGGGAGACTCAGGGCTGACATCACAGCTTTCCTCTCACCAAAAGGAAAGTCTGAAACCCTGAGTGCATCCCTCGCCAATCAAATCAATAGTGAGGCTGCCACAGGACTTGCCCATGTTAACTGGCAGGGAAAAGTGACCTCAGCCCACTTCTGTGAGCTGAACTTGTAACCTTCCATTTCTTGATCCTCTGTTCTCTGAACCAATCTCTTTTGCTGTCTAATTTTAAGCCAAGTTCATGGCTATCCATCAAAAGAGCAATATTCTCGCAGTGGGTCAGACAGCTCTGGTGCCTGAAGATGGGCATTTTTCTCATCTCAACAAGGTGGGAAATCACTTCCTCCGCACCCCTGACCCCCAGGACCTCAGAAAAGAACAGAAAGCTGAGATACTCCTGGGTGCCACCTGCTTTCCTGGTGGGGACCCCATCGCCCTCTCACCTTGTCGATGAAGGAGGCGAACTTGTTGTTAAGGGTCTTGATCTGCTCCCTCTCCTCCTTTCGCACCCGCTGGAGGGACGGATCGATCTCCAGGTGAAGGGGAGTCAGGAGGCTCTGGTTGATGGTGACCTCATGGATACCTCCAGCGCCAGACATCATCCCACCTCCAAACCCATAGCCACTGCCAACTCCTCCCACTCTGTACCCTATGCCCCCAAGACCCAGCCCATAGCCAGCACCCCCGAAGCTGGTCCGGTTGGAGCGGTAGCCACTGCTGATGGAGATTCTCTTGTTACCCCCAAAGCTGTGGAGGCTCCTGGTTCCAAAGCCACCTCCAAAGCCACCCCCGAAGCTCTTCCCACTCTGGATCATGGAGATGGAACTGAAGCTGGGCCGGCAGCCTGAGAGGAGGTTGGCTGAGGAAGCACTGAAGTTCCGAGAGCCTCCTGACTTGATGGTGATAGAGGATCGTTGGGTCATGGTGGAAGCCGGTGTCAGTGAGTCAGAGGAGTGAAACTGTCACAGGGATGAGCAGCCTTCCAAGTCTAGCTCTCCACAACTCTCCTTGACTTTTATCCCTTTTGAGAACTGGGCTTGGCCAGAGAAGATCAAAGACCACTCTGTTGAGTTCATCTCAATGGTATGTCTGGCCACGACCCATCTTCCTGCACCGCTCATCATCATAGGGAACACCCCACCCAGGGCAGGACCAGGCCTGGGAATTTGGACTTGGGGCAGGCCTGGGTCCCAAGCCCCCACCCCCACCAGATCATCTCGCATTCTCAGCCACACACTGCAGATATTCCCACGACTTCCCTTCTCCACCTCTTTTCTTGAATCTTGGACTCTGAACACATACACTTGATTATGGCCTTCTCATTATGGTCACTTATGAGGGAAACATTTTTTTTTATTGAGGATTTCATCTGTGCCAGACCCGTGCAGGTCAGTTATAAGCATTAAGTTTTTTGATTCTCATTGTAAGGTTGGACGACAAGAATAATAATTGCCAATATTTATGGAGCAGCGATTATAAGTAGTGCTTTACACCTGTTTCTCATTTAAACTTCACACAACAGGAAGAGGGTAGCTCTTATTATTCTTGTTTTGCACATGAAGCAATTGAGGTGTAGAGTAGTTCAGAGACTTAGAACCCAGCGGTCTGAATGCAGGTCACCAGCTCTGCATCACTATTCCTTATACCAATGGCGAGGTGGCTAGTTTGAGGAAAAGAGCAAATTCAGGATTTCACTCTAAATTCCTGTGCCCTCTACCCCTCACCCCAGGGTCTCATCCCGTGGTCACCCCAAGGACCAGGGACATATTCTCAGTGTCATTTCTCTCCTTCCTTCCATCCTCTCCCTCCAAACCTTCCAAATTTTAGCCCCTGGTTTTACACTCATCTTTTCTCATCCTAGTTCATGGCCCCTTCCTTCCCTTCCATTTAACTTCCTGCTCCTTCACCCTGGACAGCTGTGTTTGAGATCCCTGGTTCCAGAGCCCACGGGTGTGGTCCTGAGCACTGATCCCATTCCTCCAAGCCCACTCGGGCTACCCCAACTCTGGGGTCAGCAAGGGACTGAGATCTGATGAGAGGCGTCCAGAGGCTGTCCAAACTCAGGAATGAGGGAGCTGCCTGCAATTATAGGCCTAAATGGCCCTTCTGTTGGGTGAAAGCATTGTCCCCAGGGCTGACTTTAAGTCCTCTCCTGGCCTGTTATTTTCCTGTTCACATCTGCAAGTTGGAAGCTGTCAGGAAACAATCGACACTTTGCTGGCAGAGGGCTGGGCTGACCACCCTACGTCAGTGTCCTCAGAACTCAGTCTGGTTTGGGGAGAGGAGGGCATCGCCCTGCATGACATACAGACTAGGGAGTCTGAGCAGAGCTTCCACCCAGGGGCTTGGGCTTCTCAAAGAAGGCTTCCTGACAGGAGCGGGGCCGGGGGGGGGGGGGGGGGAGTGGGCAGCAGGAGGGAGGGAGGGAATCTGGCCAGTGCTTGGCCCTCCTGCCCCTCCCATCTTCTCAGCCCAGTCTTCTTAGCTCTGAGGGAAAGGGAGGGAGGTCAGATGCGCTGAGCCCTCCCCGTGCCAGGACCCCACGCTGAGAGGAGGTTTGGATGGGGAGAAGGATCACTCTGAGCTCCATCACCATTCCAAACAGAGGGCTGGACACCAGACACATTATACATGCATTTAATAGACATGATCCTGGCAGGAAAGAGAGAAAGGGTTCACTCTCGTCCAGCAGGCAGCTCGTAAGCTTCGTGAGACAGGTGGGCTGACACTGAGATGGCCTGGGAGATACAGACTGCATCTGGAGGAAGGCAGGAGGGAGGCAGAGCTGATGGGGAGTCTCTGAAGGGCAATCTGACAGTGAATTTTGAAAGAAAGCGGGTTTGGCACAGAGTGGGTACTAGGAGCAGTCTAGGGACCGAGGGAGGGTGGAGGCTGGCTTAGGCTGGGGAATGGGATTTAGACAGGATGCCAGGCTTCCTGGCAGCACAGGTAGACCTAGAGGAGGGGAGACAAGGGAAAGCACCGAGGTGAGCAGGGACAAGTGCAGACAGGCCAGGTGAGCGGGCGGAGCTGGCTTCAGGGTAGGGGTGAGGGAGCGGGGTGACTGCGTTCAGTGCTTGTAGCTCTTCCGGCTGGAGGACGTGGTGGAGACAAACTTGACGCTGGAGCCGCTGCCCCCGAGGCCCCGGCTGCTGCTGCTGCTGAAGCTGGAGCCGCCCAGGCTGTGCCCACCACTGGTCGTGAAGGAGTAGCCGCTGCCCCCACCGAGGCCCAGGCTTCCACTGCCAATACCACTGCCACCTCCATAGCCACTGGAGACGGTGGAGGTGACCACAGCTGCCGGAAGAGAGGAGACGTGGTCAGAACCAAGGGCAGGAGAGAAGACAGCTGGGGCATCATGGACAGCTCCCTGAAATCCATGGGGTGGGGCTGGGTGGTTTGCCTCTTTCCAGTTTTCCTGCCCACTTAGTGAGGTCACTGTCCCATGGCTCAGCCTGGTTTTATCTGCACCACAGCATCAAGTGTCCTCCCGGTCCGAATGGCTTCCTGCCTCTCCTCTGCTACTTGGCACCTCTCTTCTCCTTCCAGAACTTACTGGGATGCCTGTCCTCTAGGAAGCTCTTGTACCCACCTGCCTTCCCTTTGATTCCCCTGCTGTTCTGTACCCACCTCCCCCTGGCCCTGGTGTCTCCCTTCCTTCTGGAAGCTCACAGCTAGGTGTGGATACGTTTCCCTTTGTGTCCTCCAATCCACGCTCTCTGAGTCCCAAGGCAGGGCTGGAGTATTCTCGATAGGCCAAGTGACAGATGACCCACTGGCTGGCTAACTCTGTCCCTTTTCTCCTCCTGAACTGCTCTCTCCCTAACTTTCAAACCACCCTTCATCTTAAACATCTAGTACCTTACTTTGGGCTCTTCTGAAGGAAAGCTGAAATAAAATATAAACTCTGTTAAGGGATGAATTTTATGCTCCCCAAAATGTGTCGAATATCTGTAAAGTGTCTTTACTTGGACATAGGACCTTGTAGATGTAATCAGGTTAAGATAAAATCATTAAGGTGGGCCCTAGTCCATTATGACTATTGTCCTTTTAAGAAGAGGGAAGATGTCCAAGTGAAGACAGACACACAGGGAAATGGCCACATGATCAGAGAGACAGAGGCTGAAGTGAGGCAAGGAACACCAAGGCTGGACAGCCACCACCAGAAGCCAGGAAAAGGCAAGGAGGGTCCTCCCTACAGGTTTTAGGGACACATGGCCCTGCTGACCCCTCTGTTTGTAATTTCTAGCCTCCAGAGCCACAAGACAGCACATTTCTGTTGTTTCTCACCACCCAGTTTGTGGTACTATATTATGGCAACCTTAGGAAATAAGCACAGATTTTACGTGCTTTCAAGAAAGGAAACTTTAGAGGTTATGCCATCCAGTCCCCAAATTAGCTTTGAGGGTCTCTGGAGCCATTGGACAAGGACCTTAGGGAAGGAGGACTTCTGGGTGGTTCAGACGGATCTGCCTTATTGAGTCATGGTTAATATCATCAATCGCTAAGGTGTCAAGAAAACTGAACTCCCTTGTAGAGTGTAAGTTGTAAGAATCGTCTCTTGGCCTCACGATGCCAGCACTGAGCTCTGTAAATGGTGACTTCTGTGCTTACCAGTGCAGGCTGTGCACGCTTACTAATGAATGCCTCTCCTGCTTCTGGGGAGCAGCACCAAACTGCCGGGTCTCTGGAAACTCTCACTGCCTTGAAACCCTTGGTAGGTTTCTGTGTCACACTCCATAGAGTTAAACTGAGCAGTGGGGTTTCTCCCAGACTGTTCTGGAAGAGACTGCCTAACTGGCAATGCCCTAGTGCCCAGCATGAAGGCTCTCTCCAAAGCCTGAGAGCAGACAAGATCTCTCTAGTGTGATCCAGTCTGGGCAGGGGAAGGTGTGGCCTGAGGATCCTGCAACCCATGTAGAAGGATGAGAGCAAACTTCCCATTACTCCCTTGTGGTGCCCTCTCAATTGAAAAGAGGTAAGGTCGGTGACGTTAAGGTCTCTCCTAATAGAAACTCAGAATCTCAAACCTTCTAAAAATGAACCTCCCATCGGTGGGATCCCCTCCAATGCCCCATACATCCCTGGCACCCTCCGGCATGCCCACCATCTCCCCAGTCCCCAGCCACATACACTCCAGATGACACAAGAGGATGTCATACTCACAGATATTAACTGGAGAAACACCCTCTCCACTCAGCCTGATGGGGAGGAGGGGGGAAAAGGAAGGTTACTGTGGTGTCCAGCAGTTTGTGGTCATTTGAAATGACATTTGTGCAATTGTTTTAAATTTACTGAGAAAGCCTTCAATTATTTTTATTGCAGAAGTAATGGAGGTTGAAATTATTTAAATACCAGTAGTATTAAAAATAATAATCTAACAAATGAAATAATGCAGAGTTGGGGTTCATAGGAGTCAAATCTGTAATCTCAGAATTTTTGGTGTAAAGGCACTGGGAAGACCCAGAGGGATGGGATGGGATGGAGAGGGAGGCGGGAGGGGGGGATCAGGATGGGGAACACATGTAAATCCATGGCTGATTCATGTCAATGTATGGCAAAAACCACTACAATATTGTAAAGTAATTAGCCTCCAACTAATAAAAATAAATGGAAAAAAATTTTTTAAAAGAAAATTAAAATTAAAGCAAATCATATGTTAGCGTCAGCTGGAAAGGGGGCTATCATAGAACAAGAAGATTGCTCTTTCAACAATGGCCTATTGTCAGGTTACCGAGGTTATTACAGGTGTGGAAAGGAGTCTGAGTCATAAATGTAACAATAGCAATCACTGGTCTAGCCTTGTTGTAGCAACTAGAGTAGTTTTGCTTTAGCATCTTGAGGACAGAAGTGGCATTCATTATATGAATTACCTATTACCCACATTATGCCACTTAATTCTCTCAATAACCCCTAAGTAGGTATTATAATCTTGGTTTTACAGATGGGGAAATTGAAGATCAGAGAGGTTAACTAACTTGCTCATGATCACAAAGCTGGATTTGAGGTCAAATTAATCTAACTACAAAGCCCACATCTTTGGCCGTTAAAATGAGAGGGAGCTAATCATTTGCCGTGTCCATCCATTGTTCTGAGAGCTTCACTGGTAGTCCCTCACTTAAGCCCTTTTAATAACATAGATGATAGAAACTCTGGTTGTCCCATTTTACAGATGAGGACTGGAGAAATCACACAGCTGGTCACACGACTGGTAACTGGCAGAGTACAAAGCCCCCATTGGGCTTTGGGGATCATGTGACCTGAGCTCTTTATTACATCAATAGAGACATAGAAAGCTGGGGTGGGGAGGGTTGGAGGGAGGATGATGCTGAATTTCCTAAGCTTATGTAGCTAGTTAGTGGTAGACCTGTTGGCCCAAATCCTAGGACAATTTATTCTCAATTCAGAGTCTTTCATACTACATATCCAGACCCATTGTGTGACCTAATTTCTCCTTTGATTTTATTTTACCTGGATCCAATCAGCTTCTAGATTTCTATGGGGTGCTAAAAGCAGTTGCACCTCAAATTTGGGATTGCTGATTATGATTTCCCTGGAAAGAAACTGCACCTGTATTCCTTGTCAGAGTCCAGTTCTACCAGCATTTTGCTCCCTTTTCCAGGCAAGGAAGGGCCTGTATCAACCTGCGTGTATGCACGCATGCTAAGTCCCTTCAGTCATGTCCAACCTGAACCCCTAGGAATGCCCAGGCTGCTGGGATGGGTGATCTGCCCTCACCTGCACTCCTCGCCCTCCAGCAGCTTCCTGTAGGTGGCAATCTCCACGTCCAGGGCCAGTTTGATGTTCATGAGCTCTTGGTACTCGCGCAGCAGTCGGGCCATGTCCTGCTTGGCCTTTTGCAGGGCCTCCTCCAGGTCCACCAGCTTGGCCCGTGCATCCTTGAGGGCCAGCTCCCCACGCTGTTCTGCATCGGCAATGGCTGTTTGCAGGCTGGCACACTATAAGGAAAGGAGGAAGCCATGAACCTTACTGATAACCTCTGGAAATCTGGTGCTTCTTGGGTAGGAGGCCTGTAAGTGAGGCAAAATGACCTGAAAGACGTTAAGTGTGCGGGGAGCTCTGGGTCCTGCCAGAATGTACCTGCTTCTTGATGTTGTCGATCTCAGCTCTCAGCCTCTGGATCATCCGATTCGTCTCGGAGATCTCTTGTTTGGTGTTGCGGAGATCATCGCCGTGCCGGCCAGCTGTGACCTGGAGCTCCTCATACTGACAGAACCAGAGCAGAGTCAGTCAACCCATCAAGCTCTGACCTGGGCACCACCTGCATGCCCAGCATGGCCCTTGGTGCTCTGAGCAAGTCCATCCATGCACTCATCATTCACCCATCCCCTTGCTTGTTTCTTGACCACATCTACTCACCAGGCATGTCCTGGGCTCTGGTAATATCATGAAGAGCATAATCAGACTCCTGCTTATAGTTTCTTTCTTTTTTTTTTTTTTGAGATGGAAAATAATTGAACCAGGCTGGCATTTGATATGAGCAGTTATCAGTAAGGCTCATGGTTTTTTCCTTTCCTTACCAGCCTACATATTATTGAATTTATAGCTTCAAACTGAGATGAGAGTCGCTTAGGAAGTAAACTGAGCCCTGTGGAGCTGTGACAAAGGAATCTGACTTAGGTATGGAAGTGAGGGATGGCGTGGGGAATGGGCAGGAAAGTCCCTCTAGGGATGGAGATGTTCAAGCTGGGCATTGAAGGCAGTGAGAAGGATTGACCGGCTCAAGGGAGAACATTCCAGACAAGAGAAACAGACTGTACATGAAGCCCCCAGAGTATGCAGAGCACGAGGAGTGAGAGATGATTTGGAACTGTCCTTGGGGAGTTCTTGGTCATGGGGCATACGTCAAAGACCAACTGTGACCATGAAGTTTGGTGGCCCTCCCGATACCAGTGCTAGGGAAATGGAGGCATTGCAGAGAAACACCACTGGAAGGAGCTCAGGCTATAGAGGACCCCGTTCTGAAGACTTTGTAACAGAATCCTCCATCTTAGGTGGCTCTCTGTCTAATGGTGCGAGTCTAGGACACCATCATTTAGGAGAAATAAATGCACCCTGTGTCCTCCAGCAGACTGGAGGAAACTCGCACCTTGCCCAATGGAAGAAAAGCCCCTGCCTAAGTGAAGATCTGTCCAATTTAGAAAGTGCTGAATGGTTCGGCTTCTTCCTCTCTGGACACACATGGTTAAAGGCAACAACAGTCTTCGCCAACACTACACTTTGCAACCACCCCACTTGGAGTTAAGTGCATCCCACCTCCACTCACTATGAAGGAGCTACCTCCACCCTTGTACCCCTGGCACCTGACACCTGCTTCTTTTCTACCACTTGCAGTGGCAGGGACTAAGGCAGTGCAAAGAACCAAGGCAAGGGATGACAGCCAGCTTGTAGGTGAGCAGCTGCCCTGGAAAAACATCTGCATTTGGCCGATAACTAATCTCATGGGTTGGACCATTCAGGCTGCTCTACCCCTCCAAAACCAAACCTTCTGGCCATCTGCACCTTTGGACAACAGTTCTCTGCAGTCATGCCAACCTCCTTCTTCCCAGGGCAAGCTCTCTTGTTCCACAAGGTACTCATTTCTGCCTCCCAGCCCCACAGGACTGCTTGCTCAGCCTTTCAAGCCTTCCCTGCTCCTTGGCAATCTTTTGTCCCTTGCCACTTCCAAAATAAACTAAAGCCCACCTCTTCTTGGAAGTGTTTTATTAATGCTTTTCCCCTTCTATGACTGTTCATTCATCTCATGGCCTCCCCGACCTTGGATTCCTTTTGTAGTTTGTTCATTTACAACTTTGTAATCCTGCTTGGCATATAGTAGGAGCTCTGTAAATAAACAAGCCCTTTGGAAACAGTTTTATGAGCATTCTTGGTTGTTTGAGTCTCATCCAGCCCCCAGCCAGTTGGTAAGTGGTGGGGGGACTGTGGCTGTCCTTCTGAGCACCCAGGATTGCCTGACCACTTAGTAGTGTGTGTGTGTATTGGGATTTCCACATGCATTTCAAGCTAAGTTTTCACAGCCTCCAAGACACTTCTGCCAAGTTGAAAGAAACGGGAATGCTCACGTGACTCCTGAGGCTTGTGGCTTGTAGTTAAACAATGATCTGAGGCTTCAGAGAACACTAGACCTGCAGCCTATCACGGAGGTGCCCATGCTCACCTTGGTCTGGTACCAGGACTCAGCCTCAGCCCGGCTGCGGTTGGCGATCTCCTCGTACTGAGCTTTGACCTCGGCAATGATGCTGTCTAGGTCCAGGCTACGGTTGTTGTCCATGGACAGGACCACGGATGTGTCGCTGACCCGTGTCTGCATCTGACACAATTCCTGCAGAGCCAGTTAACTCAGTGTCACCACCGCAAAAAGAGAAGGGGTGTTGAAATTACACAATTGACCACCCATCTAAGTCAGGAACTCTTCTTTGGCATCCCCAGCAAGGAGTGCCCAGCTCTTGCTATGCCAGCCGACCCCTGAGGAGTTTCTGGGTCATAAATCAGTGGAATGGGAGTGTGTCCCTAACATCCATTCTCAAGGCTCCCCTCTGTGCTTTTTCCCTGAATATTAAGGATGAGCAAGTGTTCTCTGAATCCAAATTAGATCACATTGAATATGACATATGTGATTCATATGCCAGCATTAAAGGTTTCTTCAGGATGGGGTGATTTTTAGGACTCCCCACCGACACACAGTGTGACTTCATTGCTCTCTACCTGTCTGTCGCCTTACACAGGCCCAGGTGTCTGCCATCAGAGTGGAGATGCCCATAAAGAGGTATCTTCAGGGGGCAGGAAGCACCCTGACCAATGGGCTGAGGGGCAGCTTGCCTTCTGAACTTCGCTGAGGCAGTGAAGAGAGAGATGGGTCTTGATTCCTTGGGAATGTTACCCAGTGACATGGGAGTTTAGGAATCAACACTTGCTCCTTGCTCGGCCGGCAGGGAGAAGACCCAGAACTGGGGTGGGGTTAAGTGTGGCAGGATTTCAAGCAGTTCTTCCCAATCTCCATGGCCTCTCAAACCCTCCATCCCAGGGAGAGACACTATATGGATAACACTCTGCACCATCCTTTTCTTGTCAGGCTTTAGATACAGGAGGGACAAACACATGTGCAGGATCTTACTGCCTCAAAGAACATTTGGAGGAAGTTGATCTCATCGGTCAGAGAGTTGGCCTTGGCCTCCAGGTCCACCTTGTTCAAGTAGGCAGCATCCACATCCTGAAAAGACAGCACAAGATGTTCCTCTGAGACCCTGGCCCCAGGCAACAAGCCCCAAAGAAGCTGGGCAGACTCCCTGGCCCTTCTAACTTGGATTTTAGCAAACTCTGTATCTGGGGTTTAGGATTGGGGATGGGCAAATGCTGGGCAATTGTGGCTTGAGTCTCCTGGGCTAACAGAAAACAAGCAAGGTCATTGGGGCCATAAACATGTAGGGAGAATTTTGGCAGGTTTCAGTTCTCTAGATATTCTAAGGGCTGAAGTCACTTTTTTTGGGTGGCCCAAAGGTCTGTCACCCCACACTCCTAGATTCGGTTTTGAGTCTTCTCCTTTGAGAGACATTTCCACCCACCTTCTTTAGAGCCACAAACTCATTCTCAGCAGCTGTGCGCTTGTTAATTTCATCCTCATACCTGTAAGCACAGAGGAGAGGGGGCGAGTGGTGAGTAAGGGCTTGATTGAACTCTTCTCAGGCTGAGGTGGACTATTTGTGTAGCAAGAGACCTCTGTGTGACTTCAGGTGATTCACTTAACCTCTATTCTCCCCCTAAAAAAGGAGAATAATTTCTTCTGCCAGTTTCTTTTCCCTTTTTTACTTTTGTAAGACTTGAAGGTGGGCATGGAACAGACAGGGATAGTAAAACATATTTATGCAACTCCATCCTCTTAGAGATGCACAATTCCAATCTTTAAAACATTTTTGCTGTCTTAAGGGCCTGCTGGAACTGTGCGATAAACTTTGTTCAGGACACTGTTTCGGTCGATTTTGATGTATTTTCACTGAACCTCAGGGCAACCATTTAAATAGTGTGTTTTTTTTAGTAAGCAGGTGTTGCTTTAAAACAGAAACCAAGGGTGAGCCACCTAAGGGGTTGGCGAGGACCATCTTTTCTGTTGGATACCTCACATACTGCAGCCTGGGCGATGGCGAGTCAAAATTGACTCCCTCAGGAGGATCGGATTGCCTAGTTTATACTCTAGGGTACACCTTGGCAATGCAGACATCTCAATAATAGAGCCCATGTCCAGTGTAGTTAAATAATAAACTGACTGTAAAATATTGTTTTCAGAGTTAGAATGTTTTCTTAGATGACACAGATGTCCCTTTGCAATCATGGACTCAGATAAGAGTAGGCTTCTTGTTGGTAGTGATGCATGAGATGAGAGTCCCTTTGTTACCCCATACCTTGCTATCTTCTTCTCAAGAGATGATGACTGCAAGTCCAAACCTCTCTGACACGGGTCTCTGCTCCTTTGCTCTCCTCTGGCCCTCATAGAGAGGCGTTTGGGGATGACTGAATGGAATCAGAAGGGTCTGTCACTCTTACCTGACTTTGAAATCCTCCACAACATCCTGCATGGTTCTCAGCTCAGCATCTAGCCTGCCTCGCTCGGTGGTGATGCTGTCCAACTGCCGCCGGAGGTCGGTGATGTAGGCATCGAAGAAGGGCTCCAGGCTCTGCCTCACAATCCTGGTACCCTGCTCCTGCAGGAGGCTCCACTTGGTCTCCAGGACCTTGTTCTGCTGCTCCAAGAACCGCACCTGGATGGGAGAAGAAGAGAATAAATTCTGGAGAACCTGGGGAGGCAGAGCCAGACACCACCCCAATGAATATAGAAGAGAGGAAAAGTACTTTTCACCTGACACCTGTCTGCCAATGATATAACTGACAACTCCTGCCGAAATGGAAAAGCCCATCAAGTTACCCTGATGTTCTCTGGGGCTCCACAGAACTAGTGTAGTGGCTCCTTGATGGGGAGCTGCCATTCTTAGAGTGTCTCTACCACCCCTGCTCTGGGTTAGGTTGGTTTTCTCAGGGAACTTAAGAACTTCACATTTCCCTCTGTGTTGGCTGAACCAGCCAGCATGGCTCCCAAGAAGAAAAAGGGAAATACCCTCAAGTCCTGTGGGGCAAGCTGGCCCTACCTGCAAATACTTCTGCCCCTGGGGGATGCTTGCTGAGGGAACATGCTTTCCTGCAGGGAGGCTGTTGGGTGATGGCTGCTCTCTGCACTGGGGCCTCCCCAAGAGTTCCTGGCACCCAACCCCATGGACCAGATGCAGCTCCCAGCTCACCTTGTCGATGAAGGAGGCGAACTTGTTGTTGAGGGTCTTGATCTGCTCCCGCTCTTCTTTCCGCACCCGTTGGATGTTGGGGTCGATTTGCAGGTTGAGGGGAGTCAGGAGACTCTGGTTGACGGTGACTTCTTGGATGCCTCCAGGGGGACAGATGGCGAAGCTGCAGCCCCCGTGGCCCCCTCCAATTCCACCCCCATAGCCGAATCCACTGCTGACCCCAAACCCGCTGCTCGCCCTGCCACCAAAGCCACTTCGGAAGTTGCTGCCACACCCACTGATGGAGACCCGCTTGGTTCCCCCCAGGTTGTGGAGGCTACGGCTGCCAAAGCCGCTGATCCTTCCCAATCCTCCGCTGCCCCCCAGGGAGTGGGTCACGGAGACGGAGCTGAAGCGAGAGCGGCCAGTGGCTGGGGTGGTGGCTGAGGCTGTGCTGAAACCCTTGCGGCTGCTGGTCTGGAAGGTGATAGTGGACTGTCTGGACATGGTGTCTGGGAGAGGCTGGTGAGGAGCACTCCTGCTGTGGATATGTGTGGAGGGGGATGGAGAAGACAGGGCGTCTGGGGTGCCCCGGCCCCCTGGGCTTTTATGGGCTCCGGGAGGGGGGCGGGGCATGCTCCTGCAGGCCTCTGATGGCATTTTCTCGGCATCCAGCAACCCTGAGCCCACACTCAGCTCCCCTCCGAAAAAGGCTTAAAAGCCACGCGTTTGTTCCCTGGCATCCCTCCCCCACATGGAAACTCCTTTCCAGTTGCAACTTGATCAGCAGACGAATGAGAAGCACGTTAATTGCCTTCAGTCATGTCCTAATCATGCATTATAAAATGGACTCAGAAAACACTGCCTCATTTCCAAACCTCTCTTAGCCCTGGGACCAACTCCCTCCTGTGCAAACATCTTGTGTCAGCCCCAGTGACTGTGGTTCACTGTTTCCTGTTCCTTCTTACCCCTTAGGTGTGCGTCTTACTCCTGAATTCTTTCTCAGCAATTATCCCCCAGAGCCCCCACTCCCAACCCCAACCCTGGCCCAAGCTGTCCCTCCAGATCTTGAAAATCCTGCTCTCCACCCATCCTTTTCAGGAATCCACCCCATTTTGATGGCCCCTTTGTTTTACTCTGAAGCTGCCATCTGTACTGCGCAGGTCACATCAACGTTCTGGGCATGAGTGTGTGTGTTTGTGTGACCACATATGTCCTGTCCACTCCAGTGTAACGTGACCCTCAAGATCAGGTCCTCTGACTACGTGGAGAGAAGCTTCAAGAATGGGAACATGGGTTTGAATCCCAGCCCTGCCACCTCCTGAAGGTGAGATGTGGGACCAGTCCTGAAACATCTCTGGGCCTCAATTTGAGTGTCTGTAAAGTGGGGCTTGTGATGACTATTCATGGAAAAACAGATTTTGCAATGCCAAGGACATGCAGATGCTGACAACTCAACAGAGTCTTCAGCAAGGTGCCCATCCTGAGGCAAGGACTCAGGATTTGAAAGCAGCATAATACACATTCTTTTTTCTTTATTAACAGGCTTATGGTCCTGTTGGGAAGACTAAATCGAGACACACTGAGGAACTTATGAAACGATGATGCTCCATAAAACACTGCCTCTTGTCTCTGTTTGAAGCCACCTCATCCCGAAAGTCTCCTTGACCAGCCACTCCTCCTGTTGATGGCCAAGGATCCTGACCCTTTAATCCTTCATCAGAAAGTCCCACGGCTACTCTGAATAGAGGGCTTGTTTATTTTCCCCCGTTAGTCTTAACATTTTTTTTAATTAAAAACTTTTATACAGTTTTAAAAGGTTACTTTGCATTTGCAGTTATGACAAAATATTGGCTATATTCCTCATGTTGTACAACACATCCTTGTAGCCTATCTTAAACTCAATAGTTTGTACCTCCCACTTCCCAACAGCTATATTGCCCCTTCCCACTGGTAATCACTGGTTTGTTTTCTATATGTGTGAGTCTTTCTTTTTTTTTATAGCACTAGTTTGTTGTGTTTTTTTATATTCCACATATAAGTGGTATCATACGGTATTTGTCTTTCTCTGTCTGACTTATTTCATTTTAGCATAATGTCCTCCAAGTCCATAAATATTGCTGCAAATGGCAGAATTTTGTTCTTCTTTATGGCTTAGTAGTATTCCATTGTGTATATATATATATATATATATATATATATATATTCTTTATCTTCCACATATTCTTTATTCATTCATCTGTTGATGTACACTTAGATTGCTTTCATATCTTGGCATTTGGAAATAGTGCTATGAACATGTGGAGGCTAAACAATATGCTACTGAACAATAAGCAATCAATGGATCATGGAAAAATTAAAGAGGAAATCAAAAAATTCCTAGAGTTGAATGAAAATGAAAATAAGCTGATTCAAACCCTATGGGATGCAGTAAAAGTAGTTTTTCTTCATGCTTTAAAAATTGGAATAGAGTTGATTTACAGTGTTTCAGATGTACAGCAAAGTGATCAGTTTTGTAACTGCAAAAGCAGTTATAAGGGGGGAGTTTATAGCATCCACGCTGGTCTTGTTGATCATGTCTTCAACCTCCATCAGTCTCAATTGATAAGAAGTCCTGGTTCCCTTTCTTCTGTATCTCATCTCCCCATGGAGGGTGGAGGTGGAGTCAGACAGAAATTGTCAGATCTTTTGTCTTGCTGACTTCTTGCCTCTTACAGTGGCTTTAAAGGATGGGAGAGGGGGAGAGGAGCTGAAATGTATTCTGTTTGTGTTTTGTGCCTGAGAAGCCAAGTCCCCAGGAGGTAAATGAAAGAGATCAGCATTGTCTAGCTAGAGAGAAGCAGAGCCACATTCTGTGGTCTCTCCACGCAGGGGTCCTTTCAGAGGTGCAGCCAGTGGGTTGGCAGATTCTCAGCAGCCTGGAACGGCAACTTGGCACTCAGGGCAGTGGTTCTCTGTTCTCTATGCTATTTCCTTCTTGGGGCTGAGGCCAGGGAGTGGGCCTCTCCTCCGTTGAGAGAGTGTGTGAGAGTCTCAGGTTCCACGGGGAACCTGTGAATCATAGCTTTTGTTGGTACAGGCCAGGAGGAGCACAGGAGTTTTCTCGCTTGGTTGCCAAAGTGTCCAGGTCCCGGCTGGGGTGGTGCATGTGTCTGTGGTGGAAAGAAAAATTGTCTTTGTTTTCTGTACTCATGGCATGATAATCTTTCTCCCAAAAGAAGGGTTACTTGTTTTCTGAGCCATGCTGAGTAAGTTCTTCAGAGTTTTCCATGGAACAAAAGCTGGTAAAGGGTCAAGGCTGGGAGGGCCTTCACTGACCCATCCATGAGAATGGGGTCACCACAGCCCTTGCCCATTGAGCTTCCCATCTGGAAGCTGCTCCAGGCTGCCTGCCCTCCTGGGTCATGCCTTTACTGGCCAAACCCTCTCCTGGGAGCTTATACCAGGTGTTGCTATTCATCCCATTTCCAATCTTGTTTCCCTCAGCCATCACATCTTGTCTGGGGTTGCCCACTTCCTTCTTTCCCTCCTTTCTCTCTCTAATTCTCCAACCTGGACCATTGTTTCCAAAGCTGGTTTGTCTTAGATGCTGACTTTGATGAAGTAAATGGAAATAGATAAGTCTTACCCCTCTTCCTCTTCATTCCCTCTCCTGTAACATTTGACCTTCACTGTGACCTTTACTCTGATGGATGATGTCTATATGAATGCCTAGGACACCCCAGCCCCACAACAGCCTATGGAAACTTCAGGACTTAGAGATTATGGACACCTCTGCTTTCCTTTCTGCCAATAAAGTTTTTTGTTTTGATTTTTAACCTCCTTTATAATTCTGCTTTGAAGCTTCCCCCAAGACGACTTCCTAGTAAACTGCGCCCAAGGACTGCCCCTTCACACCTGTTCCCAGAGCAGGCCTGTGCCTGTGCTTGGCTTGCACGTCGGCATGTTTTTCACTTGCTTTGGCTTCCTGGTGGTCTGTGGAGGGGTAGGGTGTGTCCCCTTCCCCTGCCCTGTCTCCTAGCTCCCATAGGGAATTGTGACTGCAGTTCACTGGATGTAGGTTGTCTAGTTTAAAAAAAGAGCTTTAAGGAACACATTCCTTTCTGTTCTCTGAAACTGCTGAATCTCTCCAACCCTGTGTTGTTGGGTTTGTCTGGGAGGAGTTCTCTTGAGGTTTGGGGAGTGGTGGATTCAAAAGAGAGGGTATGGGCCCTGGTGCCTGAGGCTGGGAGTGGCAAACTCCTCTACGCCCTGGTTCCTGCCCCTCTGCTCAGGGTGGTCTTTCCTATCCTCAGAGGAATGCTGTCACTCTTGACTGTGGTAGATTTCAAAGAGACTGACCTGTAGTGGCAACAGGACTTGAGGTTGGTGGAGCAGGGGAGGAAGGCATGAAGGCATGCCTCCCAATGCTATAGGAGTAGAGAACACAGCAAGGAGCCTGGGTTTCCAGCCAGACCAGAGCCAGAGGAGGGCAGGCTGGAGGGGGCAGAGGGGACTGGGCCATTCTCTAGAGCAGGCTGCCTGCTGCTTAGAGCCCAGGGTCCTTGGGCACAGTGTCTCCTGGGATTGAGGATAGGGAAGATAATTCTGTTGGATGGTACCTGAGACATCCCAACGGAAACACTCTTCAACCTTGACTGTTCTTGCCTGTGCAGCTGACTTCCTCTGCCTTTGGCATCTCCAACAGGCACCACCCAGCTTCCCTTTACAGGTGTCAAACCCTCCAGCGCATGGCACCTTTGCTCTCACATTCTGTGGAAACAATGCAAGGATGAAACTTGCCAGTTGACTTCAAGAAACTACCAAGATTCAGGGCTTGAAACGTGTGCTTGTGCATGGACAGACCACACCTGATCTGCTCCCCTCCACAGCTCACATAACCAGACTTTCACTTGGGCCCAGATTTGATGGGCAGGTAGAGTCTAGTGTAAGTAAGCAGGTGGCTCTCAAGGTCCCTTCACCAATTTTAGCAGCAAATTAAGGTGCTCTTCCCATTCAAACTTGTGCTTAACAGAGGCGAGATGGAGCAGCCCCTTCCTTCCATGATCAAGCACTTTGACACACCCAACAGATGTGCCTGTACAAGGCACAGATGGACACAAAGACACTCACGTCTTAAAAACATCCACAAAACAATGATCTACACATGAATGTAGTGTATACTGAGTGTGTCAGGATCAAGAGGTGAAACACAAGAACAGAGGCAATGTTTAGAGCTGCAGAAAACTTAGAAAGGAGGAAATCAAGGGAAGGAAGCATCAAAGGTCACACAGCCAACTGGTAGACCAGCCAGAGCTTCCTCTCCCTTCTGATGCCACATTTGGCCTGAGACTCCTTCATACCACAGTGCCTGTGAGAAAAGCTCCCTGTTGCCTGGGCCACACAGCGGGGGTTCTTCCTGGAGGAAGGGGGTGGTACGACGCCAGTGTCTCAAGGGCTCTTGCAGTGCAAGCCTATAGGAAGCCTCTGGAAGGCTTCCAATGTGTCTTGGCCATCTGCCCTGACCACACTAATGGCCGCCCTTGTCCCCAGGAGGGGGCCCTTCACCAAGTCTCTCTGGTTGGTGCTGAGGAG